TGTGGAAGTAGAGCCAAAACAAACAAATGGCAAGTTTCGAGCAAAATGTTAGTTCCACATCAGCTAAGTAAACGATTTTCCAACCAGCTTATGGAATGGGTTAACATGGCACGAAACGAAAGCACAAAAAGCCTAATGTAATTGCTAATTAAGAATCTCACTAGATGTAACTTCTTCTTTTTTAAATCAATAAAATTCTCTCGTACCGCTGAGATTCTAACAAAAAAAAAAAAAAAAGTCAGTACCTGTAAGGACTAAGAATAGCAGGAGGAACTTTAACCTTCCTGGTGAGTGGCTTCCATGGCTTGTCAATAAAATCCTGCATGCTCATTTCTATTTCCGGACCATACTTGTTCTCTTGCTGATCTGACCAATATGCGTTTCCAATCCCATACGTTCCTTTCGACTCAAACAACCAGCGGTTGTGATCAAAGTCCCCAGTTTGGCTTCTCAATAGTATCGATTTGTTATTTGATGATTTCATCACCGACATTCTCCTGTCCATCTTTGCGGCCTCACTGTCGCCACCGCCACCATCACCACCCCCTCGCCTAGTCTCCGCCCCAAACCTTGATGGTCCATATGGCCCTGGACCATCATGCTTGGGATCCGAGGTTGTTCCTGCACCGGACGACCCACCTGGCTGGTTGTCCGGTGTGGGAGGCATCATCACGGTGTAATTGATGTAGTCATTTTCGCCTGAGAACTCCCCGCTCATGTCCAAATCATCGTCCCGGGACAAGCTCATCACACGTCCGCTGGACGTTCGGCGAGCAAACTTGACACCCTTCGGCGCTTGGCCAGGAGATGACGATGTTGATTTCTTTGATGAATTTGATGAGGTTGCCATATCTGTATCTCCCTGATGATGTCTATGTTTTTCCTAATGTAATTGTGCTAGAAAGCCCTAATGATCGATTATTCCATGCCCAAATAACTAGAACATGTCATTGCGTGTGTTGCTTGTTACGCACGCAAAGATGAGAATTTGGAATTCCGTGAATAAAAAGAGAGGGAGGAGGTGGAAACATGAAATTCTGGGAGTCAGGAGGTGGAGCAATTGGGATTGACGTTGAAAGTTCAATCAGTGGTTGAAGGAGAGGCCAAATATGGTAATGGCCCATAAGTTGAATGGTACGAAATTGCTTCTCTATTTTTAGGTTTGGCTGCAGCGGATCTCGCTCCTCGTTTCAATCTGTCTCATTCATATTTTATCTTCGTAATGGATAGATGGACATTGTTTGAGCTTTGTGAATTGGTGGTTGCAGTTTTGTACGCTACACCAGTAATGGTACTGAATCAATGTCAATCAAGCTTGCATGTTGGGTTTAAATAAGATTCAACTATTCAATTTAGTTTTGCATTTAAATAAGTTGCAGCAATTTAATTGAATTTTGTTGTCCCAGCTTGTACATAGTCTTATTTCTCGATTTTAATTGAGGGTTTGTAGTTTTAAACCTTTGCAGTAATATCTATGTTATTACTATCCGTTATTGATTGACTTCACACGCTCTATAATCAGTTCAAAGTTGGCGTGAATTGACATTTAATTTTGTATTTACACACGCGTGTCCAGGGACAAAACCAGAGTTTTGTATGGATAAAGACATCCTCAAACAACAGAGTCGTAAATTAACAAGATAAAGAATTTACTAAACAAAATACTTATATATTGATTTATAAGATTTTTCATACAACATATTACAGTATACTCGACGTGTACTTTTCATATTTTGAAAGCGTTGCATAGCAACTTCATTACCAATACCATCAAATGTCTCTCTCTATAAAAATAACCATGTTATCTTATCATTCATCTATTGATCACCCATATGATATCTCGATCGATTCTTTAGAAATTTCACTGCTCAGAATGCTCTTTTAGCGTTAGCAATAGCAAGTGAAAGAGTTAATACTAATGTCACAAACAAGTAAACGAGTGATGCACCTTTTTAATAGCACAAGCATGTACATTTTCTACAACAACAAAAATTAAGTGGGGGCATCCAGCCCCCTAGGCCCAAGGTAACTCCGTCCTTGTGTCATGTTTGTCAGAATGTCATGTGCTTTGTTTATAAGTACTATTTGCTTGATCTAGTTTTCGGGATTTTACATTTTAGAGTCTTGATCTGTGCAATTAAGTTTTATTACCTTTTTTATTGTAACACAATTGTAATCCTATATGTATCTCCTTACGAAGAAAAATACAGAAATCTTGATTCCATGTATCATACACCCTTCGGCCTAAGCTCAATGCCTTCCACAATGAGGCCGCTCTTAGGTATGTCACTACTAGTTTCCCTTAGACTACATTCTACTGTTGCATTATCTCCTCCTCCATTGAAGAATTCACCCATCTCAATCTCCGTCCACCCGTCTCTTCCACTCCGCCGAGCATTTCGAGGCATATCTTCTAGAGGGTCTAGGATCATGGTATGATCCGCTGCAACTACTCTTTGTTTGTAAACGATATGCAACGTAATCGGCGTTCCATCAAACCCCCATTTGGATTCTTCGGGGAGCTTATAGACAAGGTAAGCTGTTACGTCGTTCGTGGGATGCATAATCTCAAGCCACCATACAAGTTTCAGCTCAGCCACTTGGGAGAACCTGTAATGATCCAGAATGTGTGTGTGTGTAGTGTATATATACATCAAAACTCAATTTGCATAGTCAAATTAGTATTTACGTAACTAATTTAATTAAAGTTAAATTAATATGGTGACAGGAGACTACCCGGAGTGAGAATGTAATTTATTCGTTTTTTTATTTTATTTAATGTATGTAAAAAATTCCTTTGCGTTGCGGTTAATTAGCATTGTTTTTCGTGTTCATTGATTTACTATTTTGTTTTGTATGTCTTTTAGTTACTCCAAGGTAGGGGAGGAGGAAGTTTCTTAGTTGTAGTGTAATTCTGATGTAAACTTATATTACTTCCCTATCGCGTTTCCTGTTCGTGCGCAATAATAACTATATATATATGATTACCATGACCCAATCGTTTTAAACCACTTACTAGAGGATGAGAAATGCGAAGGCTCTCTTCCAGTCGTCATTATTTGGGCCTAAGCTCAATCCCTTCCACCATGAAGACGCTCTTGCAGTTGTAATCACTAGTTTCCGTTAGACTGCACATCACAGTAGCATTCTCTTCTTCGGTGACAAACTCACCCATCTCAACCTCAATCGCAACCCCGCCTTGTTCGTAACTGATGCGTAATGTGATCGGTGTTCTTGCAATCGCTCAATTGTATCGTGACGAGAGATGATAGACAATAAGCTGCATAGGTTGGTTTTGGGGATAAATTTTTAGTGTCAACGCATCCTTTGATGTCAAGCCACCATACAAATTTTTAGTGTTTTTATCCCTTGATGTCAAGCCACTTGGTGAAACCTGCGATTGATTCATTTACGCATCCAAATGTCTAATTGTTCTAGGATCGAATTGTTTGGGCCTGAAATCCTGGATTTGGGTCGAGGGAATTAACCCAGAAAGAAGCTACAAAGTTTCGACCCTAATGGCAAATTACTCGGCTCAATAATAGTGAGATGCTAATGGCTCAATAAAGTTCTAGGAGAAATAAGATTGTTCAAAGATCATGATGAGATTATGGTTCGATCAAATCCTAAAGGAAGTAGGATTCTAAGGATCGAGAGAAGTTTTTTTTTTTTATAAGATTTGAAGGATTATGTTTGTTTCCCGGATAGGAGTTGAATTCATCACAAAATACGACCTTAGAATCCTAACTTATGCGAGTTTGACAAAGTCTTGTTTGAAGAAGGATTGGTGAAGATAATTGTAAGTATTGGCAGATAATTCCGAGAAACTACAAAACTCTTACGACTCTACAACTTGGCAATCTTGGGCTTCAACAAATTTTGCTACTATAAATATAAGAGAGTTTGCAACATAGAACAAACTTTTAATCCAACCCACAAATCAACGGTCTACACAAACCCTCTCACATTTTGAGAAGAATACTAATTACATTGTGAGCACGAATACATTTTGATTAGACATATTTGGGTTGACAGACTGACTATCATCTTGTTAGACGAAGTTTTCTATAAGCAACCAGCAAGGGATGGTGACAGTCTAGTTAGACAACGCCTAAGTTGAAGAATTAGTTCGGCATATAAGTCTTGACTGCTTAGTTAAACAGCAAGTTTCTCAAGTTTGATTGGTTAACCATTCCAAGCAACTGAAAGCCCTCTTGCCCCTACCATGTAACATTTTTTGGCACTCTCCTTTTCTAGTGCAAAGCTCTGTGACAGAAAAAAGATCAACTTCAGCTAGGACATTGTGATGTACAATTCATAGTGGCAGTAATGTAAACACAATAATATTATGCATTCCGAATCTTGTGATCCACAATTCTAGTGTGTTCCTTTTGTACTGAAGTTCTAATCCTCGTTTGCAAAAGAAAAAAAAAAAAAGAATCAGGAAGAATGCGCATAGGCTGCAGGCGCAGCACAACCCTTGTGCGCATTGAGGCTAGCACGCAGGCAAGTCATCTCTAACCGAAAGATTATAGCCCTACAAAAGATTATTTTCAGATGAACAATGTCAGATCATACTCATATATCATCTCTAATCAAAAGATAATTTATTATTTTGAAGTTGCTTTAGCCCCGTCAATAATTTATTAGTTTGAAGTTGCTTGAACCCTGTCAATAATTTATTAGTTTGAAGTTGCTTATATTTAGTTAAGCTATCATTGAATGTTTTCAAATATACTCGTTGAATTTAAATTAATTATTGTAGCACAGAAGCTATGCCCTTAAAAAAGGCTAAGAGGGGGCTACACTTGGCCAACCTGATGCTCATACTTCATACAATAATAGCTCAACTATATATTGGAGATGATTTTTTTAACAAATCAGATCATTTTTAACTTTTGGACCTCTCTATGGGAGATGGGACCATTGGGGCATTTTATCAAGCACAACTCACCGATTCCAACCGAGTCGGACTCAACACCCACCGTTGCCAAACACAAAAATATCCAGTGGAACCGACATTGGGCCTGACCCGGCTCCCCGGTTCGGTCACATTACGAGTCCACTTAGGTTTCCAATTGTTGTGGGAGCTGACTTTGTCCTGCACCGCTAGAACAAGAACAAACCATAAAGCACCGATTCCCACCGAGTCCGACTCACCACCCTCCAAACACATCAAAAACCCTACATGGCCGATTCAGCTTCTAAAACCCTAGAAGACCAACCTCCGAATCAGTCCTCAAACCCCCAAATGGATACCAAAACCGCAGAAGAAGTAGAAAAGTCCAAGCAAGAAGAATTAGAAAAGTCCAAGCAAGATGAAGTGAAATCGGAGAACGCATCAAAATCAGAAGGGGAAGCGGCGGCGGAGGACGAGGAAGAGGAGGAGGAGGCGGGAGAGTGTGGGTTCTGCTTGTTCATGAAAGGCGGCGGGTGCAAAGAGAGCTTCACGGCGTGGGAAGAATGCATCGAAGAGGCTGAGAAGAACAAGGAGGATATTGTGGAGAAATGCTTCGAGATCACTTCGGTTTTGAAGGAATGTATGATGGCACACTCCGATTACTACGAGCCCATACTCAAGGCCGAGAAGGCGGCCGAGGCAGAGGCTGTTAAGGAATTGGAGAAGGAAAAGGCCGCTGAGAGCTCCGAACAACGAAATGCCGCCGCCTCCTCGGAGAATTCCAAGCAGCATTCCGGTTCTAGCGGCAAGCAAGACACATAGCCCGGTCAGGTGAATTGCTGATTGCTAGCATGGTCAGTGATGATATTTTTGTTTTAGTTGCGGCAATAATTAGTGGCAAACTGGCAATTGAGAGACATTACAAATCAAATTTATAAATTGTACTTGATAAAACCAGTAACAATCATATTTTTCGATTTTGTTGTTTGTTCTGTTGAATTTCTTGCTGTTTGTTATGAATGCAATGCTCTGTTTTCGTGCGTATGGATTGTGGAGTATCGTTACTTAGATTCGCTACGCATATGACTTGATATGTTTAGTGATTGATATATAGAACTATCGTATTTCTGATTACAGCCTCTAACTGGAGTTGAGAGTTCATGAACGACTATTACGCATGGTATAGTAGCAGGGTTTAGGGTTTTAGTCATTTTGGTGCCATTAGTTTAAGCTACTGTTCTGTGAATACCGACCGCTACAGATATTATTGATCATCAAATGGTTCCCCAAAATGTGGGGTTTTGAGTTATCGAGAATCTAATGAAGAGGATCGTGTCTTTTAAAAGTATATCGTAACTGAGCGTATAGGTATGATGAGTGACATTTACACCGTGAAACAGTTTATGCTGGCAGTGGTTCACATAGATTGCATCTTGATACTGGGAAAAATTGTCTCAAGTATGAATCTGTGTTATTGTCTAATGAGATGGTGAACATTTGGATCGACTGTTTCGATTGGGGATCATTGCTTCAATGTAAAACATTAGAATGGTGAGACAACATTGAGCATGAAAGAGAAACGTTTATAATGTTAAGTTAAAGCTGAAGGGTGAAGGGATTGGTTGTGGTACTGCTACATCTGTTATCGTAGTGTGCCTGAACATGAATATGATACGTTGTTTGCTTTTGGTTGAGGATGAATGATGAAAATTTAAATGCGTGATGTCGAGGTTGGTGAGATAATATGGTGCTGGCGCTGCGCCATAACAATTGCTTATAAATTGGTTTGAAGCTGGTAGATTGGATATGGTTCATCTTCATCGTTACCAGTCCGACTGCTTGATTCATAGCATGTTCATCTGCTATCTGCGTAGCATACTCTTCGTCTGTACGATCTAGTTTTGGGTACATTTGTCAGATCATTAGAAAGTAGAAGCAATGTGGCATCTGGCCAGGTGCCATCCCAAACGAATCAGAATGGTTAAGTTTCTATTAAGGTGGTGAGCATGAATTAAGGGGGAGATAACAGAGGAATCATCCATGACTCTCGGTAGAGTTTGCTCATGTAGAAGCAATCCATCGACGGATCGCTAAAATCTAACACCACTTTTGAATGAGAAAATTTAAGATTTTATTTTCTAGAATTTGTGAATTTGTTGTTTAATTAACCTAAAAAAAATGAAATTTGTTATTTTAAACTCTTACTCATAAAAATTAGGAAATGATACCTATTTACATTGAATTTAAACACTTGGAAATTGAAGGTCTCAAATTCCAAGTTTTTTTCTAGACGGAAATTCTAAATCTCTATGTATATCAATCCAAACAAGGGAATTGATACATGTCAATTTATAAATTCTGACTTGTGTCAAAATTTCAAGTTTAATTCCCATGTCCAAACATAGTGTAAAGCAACGTATAAATGATATTAAATTTGAATGAAAATTTAATGTTCGTGTAAAAATTGTAAAATCATGATTATCAAGGTTGGGTTATACTATGAGCTAGTTGTATTATTCTTCACTTGTAAATGAGAAATCTTAAATTCGATTATCGTCAAAAACGAATTTCCCCAAAGTATTGCAAGTCCATGACATCGGATGTTCAAGAAAAAGAAGTTTGGGTTAGATTCCTATTATTTAAGTGGGGTCGTATGATCGAGACACGTTTCCGCAGCCAAGAATTTTAGAAGGCCGGCCCAAGTTGAGTTTTGTTGGGACTCCTTGAACAATAATCCACATATTAAAATTTAAAAGTAAATAATTGCAAAAGAAGCTTCCGCTGCCGCGACTCGAACCCGGGGAGTCGGTGTTGAGTTTTGTTGAGGCTTCAAGCTAATCGCTTACGTCAGCGATAAAAATCTCTCATTAGGAAAGCGGAAGGCCTACGCGGCTGATATCTGTAGCGGTGTAGCCCTAACCCAACCCAGTTTCGTTCATCTCTCTCTCTCATATCACTCCCGCCGTCGCCTCTCTCTTTAGGGTCTTTCATCGGCAGTTGCTTCATTCATATTCTGCTGGTAAGAGTTTGTTTCCAATGGATTTGTGTTGTTTATTTATTCTCTTTCATTGTTTTCGTTGTCATCTGCCTCTAATGGATTCCATTTCTATTGTTATTTGCAAATTTATATATTCCTTTGATTTATCTTGTATTATGAAATCGTCGCGTTATTTGCAAATTTAGATATTCCTTTGATTTACCGGTTGGAGTTGGATAGAAATTTTCGTGTTAATGATTTTTTTATTATTATTTAATTGGATCATAGAGTGGATTAATTTTCCTGAAATCTTTAGTTTTATGAACTAAATTTAATGCCTCGACTCGTGAGAATAAGAAACAATTTTTATTCTGAATTTTTAAAAATTTTCAGAATTCATAAATGGGCTTGTTTATACTCTGCCTATATATCTGTTCGTGCTAAAAAAAAAAATTCAAACTTTGCCATGACATAATATACTAGCAATCTGGTTCTCATAATTGTTGTTTTTGTGTTTGCGTTCACCAGCAATGGCCGAGGAAGCAATGGCTGAGGACGCAGGTATGTTTATGGTTCATCAGACTGTTGGCAGCGTACTATGTTGCAAATGCGGTATCCCCATGGCACCAAACGCTGCCAATATGTGTGTCAAGTGTCTGCGCTCTGAAGTTGATATTACAGAAGGTCTGCAGAAGCATGTCACCATTGTTCATTGCCCCGAGTGTGAGTGCTACTTGCAGCCTCCAAGAACTTGGATCAAAGCCCAATTGGAGTCGAAGGAGCTGCTGACCTTCTGCGTTAAGAGACTCAAGAACTTGAATAAAGTTCGGTTGGTGCATGCCGAATTTATTTGGACTGAGCCTCACTCCAAGAGGATCAAGGTTAAGTTGAAAGTTCAGAAGGAGGTTCTTAATGGAGCAATACTTGAACAATCATATATTGTTGAGTATGTTCAACAAGAACATATGTGCGAATCCTGTTCAAGGGTTCAGGCAAACCCCGACCAGTGGGTTGCATCCGTGCAACTCCGCCAGCATGTTTCTCACAGGCGCACATTTTTCTATCTAGAACAGCTGATCCTGAAGCATGGTGCTGCTGCTAGTGCTATAAAGATAAAGCAGATGGAACAAGGTATCGACTTCTTTTTCTCAAACCGAAGTCATGGTGTGAAATTTGTGGAATTTGTGGGCAAAGTTGCTCCAGTAAGGAGTCGCAGTGACAAACAGCTTGTTTCCCATGATTCTAAAAGTAACAATTATAATTATAAGCATACATTCTCGGTTGAAATAAGCCCCATTTGCCGTGAAGATTTGATTTGTCTGCCTCCCAAGGTCAGGTCTAGTTTGGGAAATCTCGGTCCTCTTGTGATTTGCACCAAAGTGACCAATAGTATTGCTTTGCTTGATCCGTTCACCCTGAGGCATTGTTTCTTGGATACTGATCAGTATTGGAGGTATTCCTTCAAGTCTCTGCATACAAGCAGGGAGCTGGTGGAGTATATAGTGCTTGATATGGAGATTATTGCCCCTGAAGTTAATGTTGGTGGCTCAAGATATGCTCTAGCTGATGCACAAGTTGCTCGCGTGTCTGATTTTGGGAAGAATGACACTATTTTCAACATAAAAACACATCTTGGCCATATTTTAAGCCCCGGTGATTATGCTCTTGGTTATGACATGTACGGGGCTAACAGCAATGATGATGAACTAGAGAAGTACAGGAGTCTGGTCATTCCAGATGCAATCTTAATTAAGAAAAGCTACGAAGAAAAGCGGCAGAAGAAGCGTGGGAAGCCTCGTCCCTGGAAGCTTAAATCCCTTGGTATGGAGATTGATGATAAAAATAAAACAGATCAAGAAAAGGTGGAGTCGGAGTATGAACAGTTCTTGAAGGATCTGGAGGAGAATCCTGAGATGAGGTTTAACATGTCACTGTACAAGAATGAAGAATACCAACCGTCAGAGATGGCATCTATGACTGATGGGGAAGATGCACCTTCTGTCCCACTTGAAGAGTTGCTTGATGACCTCAAACTTCGTGACTCCGACAACGACGACATTGAAGATGGGGAAGACGATAGTAGCATGCGGGAGTAAATGGTGGTTTAAACTGAATATTAAGTTCGTCACAGGGTACTTTCTTTAATTTGGTTTTCCTTTAAAATTGTTTTTCGTATGTTTTTTTTACTGCTTACAACAGCAGCTGTTTGTTGTACGGAAGAGTTGAGTGAACCCTTATTTGAAGCTAAATATGCTTGTTAGTTTTTATTACAGTAGTGAGTAGTAGGATGAATGCACAAGATACTTCTACTCAAAGGCTTTAAAATTTTTGTTGGGACGGTCGCAAACAGCAAAAATTCTATGATACTTCGGAGTATTCGATTCTCCGGAGTAATACAGAAAATCTCTTTCTTATGCTCCGGAGCATCCATCAATTGTTACGTCGTATGTCGAACTGATGTACAAGTATAAAATCAATTGAAAACTTTCTTGTTTGAAAAAAAGATTTGAAATTAAATGAAAGGGGCTCAAAAGAAGGAAAAGCCCTTTCTCAAAAAGCATAAAACTAAAGCAGCTATTACAAAAGTGGTTATCTAAACCATGACAATTGACAAAAGAAAAAGAAAAATGGAGTTTTCAGAACTGTTCATTTTAACGAAAAACAATATTTTTACACTAAAAAGTTAATATTTATACTGTTTATTTTACTCTTTATTTTGTTTTTATTGTTAAATAAAACTCAAAGTTTTCAAGTCTTTTTCATTAGTTTTCCTGAAAAGAAAAAGAGCAGATAGTAGATGACATGGTAGCAGAGCATGTTGGGTTTCTTTCAAGAAACTGAGACTCGGCATCTGCTCATCTTTCAGGACGGAGAAGAAAGAAACGCCGCATTTGGTATTTACCGCTACATAGGCCTGAGAAAGGATGGAAAATAAGGTAAATGAAAACCCAAAATCACAAGGAATAATGTTCAATTTTTTATATTCTAAAGTAAAAAGACTTAACAATGTGTTTCCAATTGCATAACAAAAGGCTATGGTTTTAAGATTTTATAACTTCTCCAAAACCAACCTCAAACATGAGCTATATGAGGGCATTCACTTCATTCTTGTAAGCTTCGGTTATGCTAGTTCAGTCACCTACCCTACCCTAGTAGACGGTACGCTACTCATTCATCCTCATTGTCTCGACTATATCTTGGTTAATAAATTCATCATTTACATTAAATATGCAGTTGAGATAACTGATTCAGTAACGGACCGTTTGAGAACCATAAACTTTTGCGCAGGAAATAGAAAACTTTATCATGGCATCGTAAGTGACATTATTATGAAGGACTAACCTCTCCACTAAACACAAATTCAGTTGTTAATGTCTAGCAAAAGACTTCATAAATGTTTTAGATGCTGCCCATGATTGATGATCCAATAGATTTATGAATCGCAATGCCTACTTGTTCAAGGGGGTTTTCCTTTTGAGATTTTGATTCTCAAGCCATGAGTTAGAAAACACTTAAATTAGAACCCCATTGTGCACCTCAAACGTTCATATATAATTTAACAACTAAGATACAAATCCTCAACTTAAGTTCTACATGCACACACAAACACACACATGATATATGTACAGTGCCGGTGCAACAAAGTTAACACTTGCAAATTGAATTGTACAATGGTCTCGTGGATGGGACTACTTTTAGAGAAAATGAGTAAGTACCTGTGGTCTTTCTGCAGTTTGCTCAATATAGCATCCAAGTCCATGTGCATTCTTAAACTATCCGAAGAAACGTTCTTTATCAAGTGTCGTATTGCTGAGGCAGCTTGTTCCTGAATGCAAACAAGTAGATTAAGACCAACAGTTACACTTGTTTCCTACAATTCAATAACTAATGGGGCATTTCAAAAGATAAAAGAAAAAAGAAAGTCTGGATGGATTTCAAAGTTCAAGAACCAAAGAGTAATAGGGAAAAAAAATGTCAGAGATAAATGTATGAATGAAGATGTTAAAGAAGGAATATTTGATCAGATTAGGCAGCAAGTGTACAGTAAAGGCAAGAACTAAAGTAATACAAGTAAACAAACATCAAGCATTACTGGCCTAGTAATGTCTCTTCGAAGCATTGCATATCAATCAATGTATTAAAAGCATGAGGCGTGGGCGAGGCGTGGGCGAGGCGTTCGAGGGATAGCCCAGTCTAGGCGTGAGGCGAAGCCTCATGGGACCTAAATTTTTTAATATATACACTGAGCGTACACATATATTATATTAAAAAAAAAAAGATTATTAATCAATAACTACCCTGAGCACACACATATATTATAAATATATATACACACATAAATATATACATATATTATATTATATATATATAATAGAGAATGAAAAGCACAATGAGCATACATATAACAATGCACGTAGACAACATACACATCCATTATATAAAAAAATAAAAATCAGAAAAAAAAAAAAAAGGCAGAGAGACGATAGTGTAAGGAAGAGGTATGAGATAGTTAAAACCCTACCCAAATTTGGGTTTGGGAGTGTGGAGAGAGAGAGACAAAAAAAAAAAAAAAACCCCTAAGGCGCCCATAGGTGGCTCCGGCGAAGCCTTCCGCCCACTCCCTCAAAACAGAGGTGGCAACCCTCACGCCTAGCCTCAGAGGACGCCTATACGCGCCCTGAGGTGAGCCTTTTAAAACATTGATATCAATACACAATGGAAGACTGCTCTGAGTGGATAACATTGAAACAGCAACGAAAAGTTCCATATTTTGTTTAGCATGATGCATCATATATGCTTTTCTGTTTATCAGCTAAGCTCCATATACTAGGGTAAATAGCTTCTCGGTTCACAGTCAACCTTTAGGTTAGGTAGTCAGAAGATAAGAAAAGGAGCATTCGAAAATAAAGTTCTGCCTCTTTGTTGGGTAAACAGTGTGATTTAAAAATTGTGGCTCAGGAACCTTTTTAACTAAGAAGGTGTACCTTGGATTAAAATTTGATAAACCAGCAATTCTTATTACTTAAATGAGATTTTCGTACTGTCCCTCCAGGCATCCTCTTACACATTTTCCACCCTTTGGTTTATTACTCTATCCATCTTAATTTTGCTACAGGCTTTGGTTCCATATGCAAGTCCTGGCAACCCAAATACTTTTTAAGGAGGAAAACAAAAGCAAAACTCTAACTGACCAATATGACCGCTCAAAACAAAACATGCCAGGGTAAAACGTAAAACATAACTACAACCATGTTCAAATAAGCACAAGGGAACTTGGCCTATCAAAATTGAGTAGAGAGATATAGCAAAGATGAGGCACAATTATGTAAAACATTACTGATAAAAACTGAGCAAGTAATCAATCACAAAATAACATAACAGATAGTAAATTCATAAACCCGCACCTTTAATCTTGGAATCGAATGTTGGTCAAGTGCACTAACTAGTGCAGGCACAATCCTCAAATGATGAAGAATCTGCATTGCCTCAATCAGGATTATAGGCAGTTGCATAAAATTAAAAGCTGCACAACAAACTTGAGACTGGGGATCTTGGAATGATTTCAAAATAATGGTCGTAACTTGTTCCAAATAATTTTTCATCAGTACCTGCACTAAAGGAATGGATTGAGACATATTGATGATTTAAAGGATCGCATATAATGAGGAAATAACTGGTACTGGATACCTGAGTTACTAACCACGTGCTAAGTTTACTAACACAAGCTTGTGCACTATAAATAGTTCAGGCTAACAGGAGATAATCTAGCTTTATCATTAACAAACCTTAAACCCCAGTCCCAGGACAAACGCACAAACCAGAAAATGTATATGGTGTGTATATCATTCCTTCGTCTTTTATTGATACCGACACACAATGTTAGTTGACTGAACCATATAAAAAAACAAGTTATGGTTTTTAAGACTGGTTGGTAACTCAGGTAAACCAACTAACCATCATACTTAGATGATCTGCAGTACAGTACCGTATCACATAAATATTTCTGAATACCAGTAGGCAAAAATCAAGCAATCAACTAGTCATAGAACTATTACCATCTCCTCTGAGCACTCCCTTGCAATCACCGCTAGCATAGAAATTCCTGCGTGGCGCTTCTTCCAATCGGAAGCATCCATGTACTCCAAGAACAACTCAAAAGCTATGGGGGTCATTGTCTTTTCACCTAAGGCAGTTGATATTTTTGTCAGGTATGCAATTCCAAGATCTATCTTCCCAGCATTCTCAGCCTGCTCGCTTTCCGTGTTGTAACATGCATAGTCATCATTTATACAGAGAAGCAGTTTCATTGGGACTGCCAGCAGTTTAACCAAAGTCTGATGCGGTAGTCCCCTCATTGTAAGTGCCAAATCGCTTGCTTCTACTACGGTCAGCAAGAATTTGTGAACAAACACTTTGGTTCCCTCTGTCACTTGTTCACTGTCTACTATCTTAAGCATATCAAGTACTAGTTCGTTAAGGTATGGCTTCAAGAGTTGTGGCTCTTCCATTACCAACATTATTAACTCCTTGAGAGCCCCGCGAGCATAGTCTTCTTTCAAGTGACTTAACAAATTAAACAGTCCAACCATCATCCCTCTCAAAAGGTCATGAAACCAATTCCGCCCTAATGAATTCGAAAACAAATGAATCAAACTAACCACAGCACCAAATGTGGCAACCTGAATATCAGCATTTTCCGAATTCAACATACGCAAAAATGCCGAGTGGGTAGGTTCAATGCTAGGAGCTAACGTTTCACAAATAACCGGACGATGCACTTTTGGGAAAAAAGCACACACCCACAAAGCAGAAAGCTGAAACCTTTCGGAGTCCGACTGAAGAGACATCAACAAATAGTCAATGAGCTCCGGCCACTCATCGCCAGTCCTAGAAATCTCCACTGCCATTTCAGATGCAATGAGACAGAGAATCCTCAAAATGGGCAATGAGCCCTCTTCTTGAAGGCGAACAAGAAATAAATTTTTAAGGTTAATTTGAGCATTCAAAGACAACTTGGGCCAAAGGTCACCGAGCACAAACCGGAGAACGAGCGCAGACCTGGTGCGAACCTCTGCGGAAGGCCCGTTCCTAATCACAAAGAAAACCTTGATGAAAAGCAAATCCGGGAAGTGCTTTCTGCAACAATGGAGAAGGCTATAGGCCTGAGATTTTTGGGGCTCTTGAGGGCTGAAGAGATGAGAAAGGAGCGTCTCCATTGGCAGCACATCGTTCGAACTCAGAGTTGCGTAGGCTTGCATTTGCAATTGCTGAGAAAATACCGGCTCCATAGCCGTTCTTTGATGAATTGGGTTTTCAGGAATCGTCAATTCGAATGTGGGTTTCGGAGGAAACTAGAGGATTCGATCGAGAAACCAAAAGTTGGGGGTTGACGGTTCGGGTTACTGATGAATAAATGAGTTTTGGGTTGTGAGACTTGAGACACAAGAAAGGTAGAACCAGACCAAAATTTGGGAGGGCACAAGGAAGATTGTGAGACAAACAAAGCTCTGCAGTCTGCACTGCCCAATGCAAGCTTTTACATTTTTCTTATCGGGAAAAAGGAAATTGTAATGTATAACGAAATAGTTGAATTTTCCAATTACACGGTAAATATGCCTTCTGAGCCGGAAATTTTGAGTTCGTTTCTTATTGGGCCAGAAAAAGTTAGAAACTGATAAGGATGAGTTTAATAATTGGGTGCAAGTGCAACGTATCTAACTCTTATGAAGTATAGTTACGTACTATTACAGTTTAGTGATTCAAATGGTATTTCTTTTCAGTGAGAGATTTTAGGTTCGATTTTCGTCAAATGCAAATTTGAACCACATTATTGCTAATCTATTGCGAGCTAAGCTCATTCCCTCCCTTAATGTAGATAGTATCCCTTGTTTAACCAAAAAAAAAAAAAAACTCTTATGAGGCATAACTCTCACATCTATTAATCTTGGTCCAGTGTAAAAATAATACCACGAGATTTAAACTTACAAAGGATGCTGGTAAAGAGAGGGAGGGAGGTTGATATTATTACTTTTACTTTTGATCTTGTGTGTTGTATTGAGGAACAAACATACATTTATAAGTCTGACAACACTTTACATGCATAAAGAAAATTTTTCATCTCCCTAAGACTTTTTCACCTAAAACTTTTAATGGTTGTCGTCAAAATTTATATTAGTTTGCTTCCTTATACAATCATATATGTGACATTCACGCTATGTTTCATAACAATATTAGCATTTTATGTTAATATTATCGATGTGATTTTAGTAGAAACTGAAAAGCCTCCGCCAAAACTTGAAACCTTGCCGCCAAAACTTCAAAAATAGGGTTTTTAAAGAATATCACTTTACAAAGCCCCAATGCCGAACTAAGCAGAGGAAGTCCCGAAGAAAGAAGATTAGCGTAGAAATGAGGTCAAAGAAAGCTCCGGTGGCATTTAGGGCGGCGGGGCAGCGCTCACTGCCTTCATTATTCTCGTCTTGCTCAAAAACGCCGTAAGGGAAAAGTCACCAAACCCAACATTTTTCTCCTTTGTCGATTAAATTGGAGCTGATTTTTGTTAGATACAATTGTTTTTGCATGGAATTAGGGCCAATGTTGCAGAAGAAAATCCAGATAAAGGCTACACTGTGCCGCTTTCAGACTCTTCAGAGAAACAGCTGCGCCGGACTTCTGCAAAATCCACCACAGTAAAGGTACCCGTTTGTTACCTTCTGTTTGGTTGCTGAGAAAATTGTGAGGGAAAGAGAGGGACAAATCAGATACTGGGTTTTATATTTTCTGTTCGAATTTACTGTTTTCTCTTATTATTAGAAGCAAAAGAGGAATCTTGCAGGCTACATTTTACCCAAGTGAATCGTACTTTCATGAAAAATGGCAACTTTAAGTTGCCAAAGTCAAATAGTCGTATTGTAAAATTACTAAATTATGTCAATTGAGAAGTGATTTAGACACACCAATTTGACCTTCTACACACCCCTCTTAATTTGAACTCGTTGATTCTACTTTGATTGTTCAATCTAACGGCTAAAAAACAAGAGAGGTGTGTTGAAATCACTTCCCTTTTCTCAAATTTAGAGCAGATAATGGAAAGTTTGGAACTTGATTATTTCCTGTTAGGTAGTTCCAGGAGTTGGATGTGGCATGTGGGTCTATATAACAAAACAAAAAGGATGTGCATTTAGGTTCCTGTTTTGATTTAAAATTTGGGGTTTGAATGAAATTGGTTTAATTCTCAGGAAAGGTTAAGGCCCTTCTCATCTGTATTTGGGTCACGAGATTCAAGTGAGGCCGTTGACGAGCAAGTTGGGGCAAAGAAAGGAGGGGAAGCAGAGAAGAACCATGTTGCTGCTTTAGTGGCTCTCGAACTTTTCAACCATACTGATCTAGGAAAAGGACATTCTGTAGGTCCATCCACTGCTGGTGAAGTTGAAAGTTCTAATGAAGATGTAGTTCAAGAATCGAGAAAAAGGAGAAACCCTTTCGATGGTTTGCTTTCGCGTCTCAACTTTTCTTGGTGCTAGATCTTCTAGAATGAACTAAGCTTCTCCTGATGATCATTATTTTGGTTTGTCTTCATAGAGAAATATCATTGAAAACTGAATTGTTTCTTTATGTTGCAATAATCTTGGGGGAAAACTGAAAACCTTATTAAAACAGCCTAATTCAACCAATTCAAAAGACTTTTTCTTGTTCAGGACTGGGGTGATGTTTGCTAGATCTTAATACGGTATAAAATTTGGTTGTGTAGTTCTTCATAGAACCAACAAGCACAACAAGCGAGTTTAGTAAGTTTTCCATTTCTTCAGGTGCTACTTCATATAGTGTATTACATTTCAAGAATGCTTAACGTTTATGAAATGTGATTGTGCCCATTACTTCTAAAACAAGTACCAATATAAAATGATTGCAGTGGTAGTTTGCTTGGAGAAGTGTAAATTTAGGGTGGGGAGTTGTAAAATGAGGTGTAGCCAAGGTGTTAAGAGCAGTACTTCCTTGTCTATATGCACTACAGGAGATGCATATGTATGAGTTATTGTTATAGGTATGCATTTGGACTTTCCACACTGTATGTTGTGCAGGTCTGACTCTCAGTTTTATACGTTTCTTAATTGCCTCAAATTTTAGTCACAGGGATAAAGTTAAATTGTAGAAATGATCTAGTAGTTTCTCTGTGTTGGTATCTGATTGAGTAGCAATCTGGCAGAACATTCCATGAATGTTTTATCAGTCGATGAGTGCTTTTGCTTCTGCGTAGAAATGTTTGTGGATATTTGCCAACATGCGTTACTTACATCAAGCATGGTTCAGGGGCTTTCCATATCATCAGCATGTCTTTTCTTTTCGCGTTGGAAGTCTTAGATTCTGGAATCGACTTGGATTTGTAACTTTGTCATACTTATTGAGAAAGGAGAAAAAAAATATAAAGTGCCACGCATTGGCCCAGAAATTTGGATTCAAGAGAGGGACAAGTTTGTGAGATAAAGTAGAAACATGAGAGATGAACTGAGGGTCTCAAATTGCAAGTAGAGTTGTAGTTAGCATATACACCACAAAAGGCATTGCATTGGGTTGTTTGACATCTAGCAGGAAACGTAACTTTTGCAGGCAGTTAAAACGTTTGTTTACTTAATCAACTTACGTATTTGGTTATAAATCTGATCCACCTCCCCTCCCCTCCCCTCACCTCGTCTTTGTCTTTGAATTAGGTGGTGGTTACAAACCCATTGTAAGAAAGAATTTCACAGTGCTGGGAGGTGATCCAACGCCAAAACCGAACCAGAAAAGGATAAGGAACGAGAGATTGATCATAGGCAAGGAGAAACCAGGGCCCTGCTTATAATCACTGTGAGTATGCTGCTACATAATCTGTGAGTCAGCAACAGTTACTTGTTCATGTTTCTTGTGAAGCTGCACATATTATTTCCTTCTTTTTGGTGGTGATGACAGATGCAAGCGGGCGTGGGTGGTGGGACTGTGACCGGGAGGGGATTGACAACGAAGAAGTAGGACTGAATGAGGTGTGGGAAGGAGTCGGATCTACCACATTGGGAGGAATAGAGTGGCATTAATCTTGAGATTCTTGACTTGATGCTACGAATATTACTTATTTAGTAGATGACCAGATGTCCTTGTTGTATAATTTAAGATATATCATTAAGAATTGAAGATGTCATGTTTACCACTTATGCTCTTAAATTAAAAGTTTTTTTTTTATTTTTATCAAAGGATGTAAAAGTGTAAACTAGTTTTTATTTTTTAATTTTTTTAACAAATGATATTAAGGGATGGGATGCGCATAGCCTCACAATAAGCTAGCAATAATGTGGTTTAAATTGGCATTTGGCGAAAATCAAATTTAAGACTTGTTATTTATTAGTAAATAGAAATACTATTCAAACGTAGTTAAAGTTAAAAATAAAAAATTGACCAAAAAAGTTGGGAAAAGGATTCTTGCCGGATCCTTCTACTGGGATCTCGAAAATTCTGTGATCGTCGTTATTAATCGTATATTGTGCAGTTAATTTTCGTTAGGTATTATTTATATTTAATTTTAAATTTTAAATAATCTTTAATTGTATGATATATAATGATACGAGATTCTTTTCCAAAAAGTTGAAAAGTAAAGGGACGTTTTAGTAAATGTCAGCATTCAAAACTAACAGGGCGTTAAGGAAGTAAAAATCTGTTTCCTTTCCGCTCGAGAGAGGGACCGACTCAATTCCTATAGACAAAGGCGGCTTCGTCCTTGACTCCAAGCCTCAGGAGTAATCAACCAGAGCAATCGATTTTCGAGGGGTAGCCATTAATGGAGGTTGACGAAATGGATTCCCTCTTCGAGGGCATGGTCTTGTTTACTCCTAACAATTCCGGTAATAACAATCTACCCCATTGGAGGATTTGGAGAAGCACCATCTCCCTGATCACGGTGGTCAAGATCCAGCCCTTCAATCTCACCAAGATGGAGATGCTCCTCCACCTCCGCCACCTCCGCCAGAATCATCGTCCTCCGAGCCTCTTGACGAGAACCTCTTCTCCGACCTCACTCTCCAATTCCAGAACCTACCAGAACCAGAAGATCCACTAACACCGACACACGATGACCTTGTTCAGAATCAAACCCCCGCATCGAAACCAACACCGCCTGCGACAGCATCCAGACAGAACTCCTCCACTTCCAGACGGAAAAAGCGAGCCGCTGGCCTCCGCATCGGATACGCCCGCGATTCCTATTCCAGTTCCAGGACCGATGATCCCGATCTCGACGACGATTCCCTCCCCTACACCTCCACCTCCATCGCCACCACCCCCGTGGTCCCTACTTCCACTCCATCTTCTGATTCCACTCCCCCTCCTCCCCCGCCTCCGCCTGTATCCTTATCAGTATCGGAACCAGAACCAGTACCAGTAGAAGTGGTCGTAAATGACAAAGAAGCCCCTCCTGAGCTCCGGTTGGACCAGAGCAAGGCTCTGATCGCCGACAAGCTCAGTCACGCTCGCCAATTGGCCGCCTCCATCTCCGCCGCCAGGAAGGAATCCATTGCCAAGAGAAGGGCAGCATCCGACCATCTCAATTTGGCTTCTGTCAATGAAGCCAATCTCGAGAAGCAGCTGGAAGAGGCTTGCGAGGCTGAGGATTTCGACACTGCACAAAGGCTCAGTGACAGCCTTGCAGCTGCTCAGAGCCAGAAGCAAGCTCTGTTAGCCGCCCTCAGAGATGCCGAGGCCGAATGTGATGCTGTGGACACCAAAATGCATCAAGTTCTCCAATCCCAAATCACCGCCGAGGAAGAATGTGCTTCTCTGCTTCAACGCTTTGCCACCGTATGTACCTCCTCCACCTTTTGATTATTTGCTTGCAGAAATTAATCGTTTTTAATAGCATGGACTACAAACAAAATGGAGATAATGGAATGAATGGCAATTGTGAAAGTTATGACATGACAATGATGACATGTAGTAATGAGTAATGTGATGATTGTTTGATTCGTTCGATATCACAGGATGCCTCAAATGATGCAGATTTGGTCTTACAAACAGCAGAAGCCCACTCTTCAAAAGAAACAGAAGAATGGCTTTCATCAACTGAAGCCTTGCATGCCAAGAAAATGGAACTGGAGATTGAATCCCATATCATCGATGATGCTGGGCTTGTCTTGGACTCTTCCATTGACACTTTGGTGGAGGATGACAAGAGGGAGAAAGAATGTCTTTGTAAGAAAAAGGACGTTCTCATGGACGAACTGGAGAAGCTACTTGCTTTGGTGAAACAGAAGGAACAAGAGATTGCACAAAATGATCGTGACATCAAACAAGTTGAGGAAAGGATTGATCTTGCTCTTTCTGGCTTCCAGGACATGCAATCCACCATTCAGGCCAAGTCCACCGACTTGCAAGCGGCCCTCTCTAAGATAAACATAGAAAATGAGGCTCTGTCAACAAAAAAGACGGAAATCGATGCCTTCCTCATTCAGGAACAAGAGAGGGAAGCAAAGTTGAGGGAACTGGCCAGGGCTTCTGCAGAGGAAGCAGAGGCATACCAACAAGTTGCTGCTCTTAGAAAAACTCTCATGTCCTCTATTTTGAAGTCCAGGGAAGATAAGATCACGCTTGCAAAGACCTGAGGAAGAGCTCTCCACGGATGTTCAAATGCTCCAACAGGATGTTTCTGCCTCAAGAGCTTCACTGCAGGAACTGTCTTCGAAAAAGTCAAGCATTCAGCAAGATATAGCATCCTCTAAGCAGAAAATTATTTTCATAGACAAAAGAATTCCAGAGCTGGAAGCAGAAAAGAAAGTCGCTGCAACTGCAAGAAATTTTAAGGAAGCAGCACGACTTGCTGCCGAGGCTAAGTCACTGAATGTTGAAAAGGAAGGGATACAGAATGACATGGAAAAAGCCATCTTAGAGCTTGAGAAGCTCGAGCAAGAGATAAAAGAGACTATTAACAGATTGCAGGAGACAGAGGGGCATATTCTCTCCAAGGAAAAAGAGCTAGCTACGGCTAGGTTTCAGAGGTTGCTTCTGATATCTGGGATTGCTAAAGCAGAAAGAGAAGCTGCTTTGGAGTTGGGTAACCTTGAAGAAGCTAACCTTCTGCTTGCGGAGGCTGAAGCAGCAGACTCTGAAGCAAATAAGCTTCAACCGTTACACGATCTCAAGGTGGAAGAGGTTGAAAGATTACCAAAGCAGTTCATCTCCGTGGAGCTTATATCTAATCTTGGGAGGCAGCAGTTAGAAGAATTAGCAGCGTCAGTGCAACCTTCTCAGGGGTGACAACTTGCAGAGCTAGAGTCGAGGATCGATTTGTTATTGATCTCTGTCGAGATTGGAAATCATAAGTCTACAAAGAGTTTGATATGAAAAGCTGGAACAAGTTAAGAACCGCATTAAATTGGGCATTAAAAAAAAAGGTATCCTTCTTCATGTACTATTACTAGAAGAGGTAAATTAGGATAGGAAACTGAAATTTTCATTTTTCTTTTTCCGAATTGGATGTGTTTTGAGTGTTTTCTTTGTGGGTTTCTCAAATTATGAATCCCCGCCAAGCTTATTCCGGTAACTTTTGTGGAGTTTCTATATTCCCTGTTTTTTCTTTCTAGAACCGTGGTGTGGTTCTGGATTTGTTTCTTTTCCTTCATTTTATGTTGCTTGTAAACTGTTGGGAGCCTTTACCCCTTTCTGATAGAAATTGCGATATCCTCAGTCGAATTTTAATGTTATTGGGATTGTGTATTATAGCCTCTAAAGTACGGTTGCTCTGGGGTACTCTCACCTGCTACTGCCAGGATTGCGTTGAATTAATACCAAAATTTTGACCCGTTCTTAATGTTAGGAAAAGTATTTTTCCATTGATAAAATGAAAAGAGTGACTGAGATTAGTTATGAATCTTTGACTGAAGCACCAGCACTTGCAAGTGCATCTGCGATTTCTTCAATTTGCTGGAGATATTAAGCAGCAGTTGATTCACCTTTAACAAGACTACAAAGACGAGATTGAAGCTTGTGAATGTGAGATTGAGATGCAGTTGTGAGTCGTGATTCCAATTTCGACCAAAGTTCTCGAGCAGAAGTCACACCAACCGTGCAAGAAATTAAAGATTCAGAAAGAGTTGAATTAATCCAGATAAGAATGTTTTGATCATTCTCAAACCAAGTAACATAGGCTGGATTGAGAGTGGCAGTCTGATTCCCTGACAAATCAAAAAGAAATTTAGGCAGCGCCACCATAGTTCCGTCAATTAGACCAATGAGATTGTAACGACGGAAGATCAGAGCAAACAAAGCACTCTATGTCAGGTAATTTGTAGTAGTGAGCTTGATTGGAACCATGGATCCAATATTTTGTATCGTAATGGAAGAAGAAATCGCAGAATTAGGGTTGGGAATTGCATTAGGAAACGGATGAACAGGAGAATTCGATTCCAAAGAAGGAGATGCAGGGTCACCAAAGTTGTACGTTGAAGAAGAATTTGTGATTAAGATCAAGAAATCGATCGATTGATCAAAGAAGATGAAGAAGATTAGGCGGTGCAAAGAGAAGCAAGAAAATTGGATCAAAGAGATGTCAGGAGACTATAGGCGGTTGATACCATATTAGGAAAAGTATTTTTCCATTGATAAAATGAATAACATTACACTTTGGATATTTATACAAAAGCTGTCACAGCTAACAGAAAAGAAAACCTCCAAAACTAACAAAGGTTCCCTAACATTTAAGTATTATCTCTTGTAGGTGTAATTACATTTTTATCCTTAATACTTAATACCGAAGGCTTTTCATAATACAAAATGTGGGCCCGACTGCATAGGAAGTCATTGAAGTCAACTACAAACTCCTCTGTTCTAACCCCCCTCTCCCCTAGCTATTTTCACATTGACTCCACTCTCTCTCTCTCTCTCCATATTTGCAGGAGACTGGTGTCCGGAGTCAACATTATTCAGAACATTGACATATTTTAAGAAGCTCCTTTGGTGCGTTAATAGTTCAGAGGATCTTGCATCAAAACTAAGACTGAGCTATGGAGAACTCCGAAGAGACGGTTGTGAGGTTGGTTTATATAATTCTTTGTTTTCTTATGTCGAACAATAGGACTTGGAAGCTATTGGTCTGACGGTATTTCTCTTCCCAATGTTGTAAGAAGTTCGAGTCTACCATCTTAGTCTGGTGGAACCTCTACCAACTTGGAAGTCCCAATATACCGTATATTACTTCAATGACCGTTTTCATGTTTCCTCTTTCTGAAGGCTGCAATGCTTATGTTATTTCCCTTGTGTCATTTGTAGTATTGCCGAACACTGTACAGCGGAGGCCACAATGAGGAGGAAACTGCTCCTTGTGATATGGAAGAGGATGTTTATAATATCATGCGTCTTTGCTCTTTTCCTAGATCCTTATTCTTGTACATTCCTATCATCAATGAGGATATCAAGTGTCTCGAGTTGGACAAGAAGTTGAAGAATACAGCTCTTGTTTTGAGATCATTCACAGATCTCTTTTACATAGCGAACGTTATTATTCAAATTTATTTTGAACGTAAAGCTCGGGCATTTAGGATGATGGGGAAGTCCTATTGCAGTACGATAGTTTTGACTAATGGAGCGATATTAGTTGAAGATGCTCTGGATTTGGCCAAGTGGATTTGGCGATCACACATCCTAATCGACATTCTAGCCCTTCTTCCCATTCCCCAGGTACAATGAGACGCCTTTGCTTTTCTAACCTCTGTGGCTGTCAACGTGTAAGGAGGATTGGATTCTCACATGTTAGGATGTCAATTTTACTATAAATGCACACTATATTTGCTTATATAGGCGTATAGAACTGGAAATTACTGCTAGACCAGGATTCAGCTGATTACATGTGATATATTTCATTTTAGGAGAGGTCAATACCCTAATTGATTCATCTCTTCGCAGAGTTGGAAGAGGTTCCAAGTTTGAATCCCCGACCCCCTCCCTCAAGTGATAACAAAAACATTATTTACACAGTGACGAGATGTATAATTCTTTGCTGAAGCCTTTGTATTGTGTGTAGGTACTAATTTTCATTTTCTTCACAAACATGAGAGGCTTCAGGTCAAGGATAGTTCCAAACTCTCTTGTTCTATTTCAATATGTGCTGCGGGTTCTTCGCATCTACTTATCGTGTAAACAGCTTGAGAATCATGTTCAGTCTGTCTTCAAATTCTTTACATTCATCCTTGCAAGTCATGTAAGTTCCAATCTCCTCTTTATTTACTTAATGTAGTTACTCTATTAAAACGTTTGTCCTGCAAGTCATCCATGAATGATAAACATACATGTTGAAAAATGAAGTTGCTCATAGTCTGCATCAAGAATTGTATTTCAGATTTAATGTTGTATATACATTAATCGCAAGTGTTAGATGAGGCAATGCCACCTATTTCTGTCTATTTAACGGGTTCAGATTGCATTATCATGAGCAATGAGTCACTGCCTAACTGTGACAATCTAATGCTGCTTGGTATGGTGCTCTCAGATCTTTCAAAATTTAACAGCCTTGTGTTCTTTTTACTTCTTTGGCTTTCAAAATCTGATTGCATTCTTCATTAAGACGTTGTGAAGCTTTTATTTCGTGAAAACTTAATAAACGTACTTTCGTCCCCTTCAAACCAGTTACATTATTTCAGAATTTTCTCTAAAATCCAATCATTATCATTAACTAATTTATTGGTCCTTTATAGGTATTTGGTGCCCTTTGGTACTTTTTCTCTATTCAACGAGTAACAGACTGCTGGCAATTTGCATGTCGGAGTACAAATGGCTGTGAAGCTAGTTCTTTTGACTGTGACGATCATGCGCTTAGAAATATCGCACTTGTAAATAATTTATGTCCTATAAATCCATCCAATACAAGACTCTTTGATTTTGGTATATTTCTTGATGCCCTTCAATCTGATATGTTGAGATCAAGCGATTTTCCACAAAAGTTCTTGCACTGTTTCTGGTGGGGTCTGCGAAATCTTAGGTATGTAATTGCATATAGAAGGCTCAACTATTTGATCTTGCATATTGAACTATATTTTGGGTGGGGGTGAACAACTACGCAATCAATTTTGCTATTGTAGTATTGTGCATTTGTTCATTCATGCTAAAATGATTATATGCAACTGTCGTTCTCTCGATGTTGGTCAGAATTTTATTTCTTCATATAGAGATGAGATCTTAACTAATGCTTTTGACATAAAGAAACGGCTGTAGGTCGAGTTTCTTATTTGAGCGCATATTTGAGATAATGTGACTTCATTTCATCTTTGCAGTTCTTTTGGCCAAAATCTGCAGACTAGTACCTATGCATGGGAAGACCTCTTTGCAATTTTTATCTCAATAATTGGCATGCTTCTCTTCTTAATATATCTCAATGGAATTATGCAGGTTGGTTTTTAGTCCGTCTCCATAAAACAATAATCTTGAATGGTTGCTACGCTTGTTCACTGCTTTTTTTGTTACGAAAACAATATTAACTTGCTAACATGTACTGAATCTACTCAATCGGGTGACTGTAAAAGCTTTCTCCGTTGTTCATCACAACCTAGAGTTTTGTCATGCATTCTCAGAATTTAATGAATTGATCGATCACCTAGCTACTTGTTCTGGTATACAGACATATATGTTGTTGTCAACTGAAAGATCAAAGGAGCAAAGGAAGTTGATGAAAATGGAGAGGAAGAGAGGTCCAGCGATAGCATCGTGGTTACATAACAACGACATCCCTTTGAATATGAATAAGATGATCATGTCATATGCTCTACGGGAACTTGATGCGAACAAGGATGTCAATGTCGAGAATATCCTCTCTATTGGTCTTCCCTTAGACTGTCTCAAACTCATCAAACGCCATCTCTGCTTGGCTACGCTGAAAAAGGTAAGTTTTTCTTTCCATCAAGAAAGACCCTTCACAAAAAAGTTCTGATCATATCCATCGTAGTATATTGAATTTTTCTACACTCATTTTAAAACGCAGATATGCAGTCGATATTATTGATAGTTTAGATACTTTGACCTTACAGATATGGATATAATGTACATTAATGATGTGCCTTGTTAGATTTATTAACTCTGTTTATTTTTCTTGGGGAATAATGTATCAAATTCTAACCTTAGGTACCAGTGCTTCAAGCCATGGATGACGAAGTGTTGAGGAAAGTTTGTGACGGTTATCTCAAGCCAATGATCTATAACGAGAACAAGTACATTATTCGGGAGATGGAACCAATTGAGAAGATGCTCTTCATCACGCAAGGCACGGTGCGCACCTACAACACTAGCAACATTGGTGGAAGTGGTTTCTCAAGGACTAGCTGCCTTGAGAGAGGTGATTTTCACGGGGAAGAACTTCTAAATTGGGCATTGTATAACGTTAATGTTGCCTCCTCTTCCGATGACTTGCCCATCTCCACTAGAATTGTTAAGTGCAGTACAAAAGTTGAAGGGTTTACCCTCATGGCCAACGACTTGAGAAGTCTCGTCTCTGAATTTTGGACCAATGACATCGACAACCCTCTATCTGTATCGAGCACCCGCTAGGTTGCGAAATCAATATGCTAAGATTTTTGTGGCATGTTGATTTCGTAGTACACCCCCTCTTGCACTGAATACTGTCTTTTCCAGGTGCATCCGCAATGTTTAGAGATTTTTCAATTTGATCGGAACACATGATGGTATACCACGTGTCACTATACAAATGGTGGGATATGTGTTAAAAAATAAAATTTCTCACCACTTACATAAAAACACGTGATATACCACTCGTATTCCAGTTACAATGAAAACAAATTTCACAATGTTAGAGGTAGATTCGGATAAAATTCTATGATACAAATTTACTGCCACCGTTACATCTCGGGGCGTTAATAAAGCTGTATGAAAAAGGTTTGGTACAAAAACTTGTTTTAGTTTGAAAATTTTATAGTTATGTAAACCCGTTTCATACGAGTCGTCGTAAATCTGTTTTCAACTAGTTTTAGTCAACGGCTGGCGGAAAATGTAATGTAGATGCAGTGCCAACTTTGTGTAGGGCGGCTCGTAAGTCCATTTGAGACCAACTCCAGCGTGAGGAAGGTCCTTAGGGCAATTTCCTATTCAATTTCCTTCAATGAACGGTAACTGTTTTTAATGAATAGTAATTGTCTTTTGCATCTCCACCTCTGAACCCTATAAAAACTAAAAAATAATTTTATTTGTAATTTCAGATAGGATTTTTAATCGGTCTTGTTGTACCATGTGTCATTAAATAAGAAATTACAACTCAAAGTATTTGAGAAAATATAAAATTATGGTGTAAGTTGGAAGATAAGGATAACATATTTATAGAAAAATTAAATCTTTTTTTTTTTTTTTAATTTCGGATTTTTTATTAGTTTTTTACTTTTTTTTAATTAATATTTTTTACATTTTTTATTAATTTTTTACTTTTTTACTTTTTTTATTAATATTTTATATTTTATATTACTTTTAAAATGTGATTGACGTCAGCCAAGCATCACACAGCCTCAGGCTCTCAAGCCACCAATTAGAACTAGGCCTCTCACTCGGGCCCCCCTCAGTCCACACGTCTGCATGGGTTGGAGCTTGCAGATCTAGCTATTGAGTTGGAAAAATGGCCGGTCCATCAGGCTACTCCCCTGCTGGAGTTGCTCTGATGGCCCGCGCCGTGAAAGGGTATAAATGGGAAATTACCAAATTATAATAAAAAAAACACGTGATTGGTGTGTGTGACTTGTGGGTGAGTGGTAATTTTCATTATTATTATTATTTTTAATCAAATATGTTATTTATACTAAGGGATGGGATAATGAATTAAAACTCATAATGGATCAACCATAATAATGTTGTTCAAATGAATTGAATATAAAACATTTCAGTTATAAATAAAAAAGAACATTATCTCAAATTATAGTAGTAAGGGAGTGACGATTGATAATTATTATTAACTCAATTATTAATTAATTAATTGTACGGTATGTTAAGCTGTGACCGCCTGTACTCCCATGCAAATTACGGGTCCAATCAGCAGGAGAAGGACTACTAATCCACCGACCCACCGCCATCAATATTTTATTTTTGGTATGGACCCCTCATCCGACTTGTTTTAAAAAATTATTCGACCAGAAGCAAACAATTGTTATATTAAAAAAATCAAATCTGTGATATCGACATAAAATAAATAAAATACAGAAAAATATATGAATGGATCAGGTTGCACCAGCAGGCAACCGCCTGATAAAAAAAAGAACCGAAATCAATCAACATGTCATTAAATAAAAAAATTAATGAAAAAAATTTGAAAACTTTGAGTTTTAACGATAAAAACAAAATAAAAGGTAAAATGAATAGTATCAGGTTTAACTTTTTAGTGTAAAAATGTAGTTTTTCGTTAAAGTGAATAATACTGTAGGCTTTTCGTTAAAACTATCATAAATAAAACAAGCACATCAATCAATTACGTTAAACGTTAATCATAATCTAGGCGTAATAGATTTTTCAAATGAAAAACCAAGATATATAAATTATGTGCATTTCCACCTATTACAAACGTGAATTTGTGACTTGGAATAAATGTTTCTCGGTAAATGATGGGAACAATAATTTATTCTTATAGAACGTCTAGAAACAAGAAGATTAAATCAGATACATCAACAAATTCCCGCGTAGTCCAAAGAAAAAAAGATCCAAATTCATCTCTAACGAATTTTAATATCACTACATATATGCCACTAACTGTGCAATATGTGTACCAATCAATTTTAAGTGCAATATGTCCAACACTACTACAATCCGATTTTACTTTTATTTTTCTGCGTTTATTTTTCAATTTTGACCACCATACTTTTCTACGCATTTAGAATTTTAGAGTTGTTGTCACTTCTAGAACAATTATTTTCCATTTTATTTTTCAAGTGTCAAGCAAACAACTTGTATTCTTTCTACTGCAAAAGAAACATATTTAGTTCACCCCTAATACCTTACAAATTTCTAGCAAAATCATGCAAATTGATCACTTATTTTTCTAGGTTATAAAAGTGTGACTTGTATAATCTTTCTGATCATAATTTGTTTGCTTTCAATGCTCAAAAAAATCAGTGTCGTATTTATTTTCTATTATGATTTTTTCACTCTCCTTACCATTAACATTAGTAATTTTTTTATAAAGAAGTTAAATACATAGTTTTATATTATATATACATGTGCCATCCACGTTAGTTAACAAAGTGTTGAAGAATGCATTTCACATCTGAAACTCGATACAATAAATACCTAATTGCACCGAGATCATTTGTTATAAAACTCAAAATATGCAAAGCTATGTAAGCGATTAAGTTATACAACATAACCGTTATTGACCTGATTCTAAAAATCTTGACGGAAAGCAAGTGAAAAATAATTAACAATAGAAGTAAAAAGTGATGTTGGGTTGTTTCATGATTATGTCCCTCTAGAAGATTGGTGCCTTAGTATTGGTGGTTGGACATTGACTAAAATGCCGTTCGCCCATTTGATCCGACCATTTAGTGAGTCCTAGCACACCTTCCATGACTCTTTTACGCTCTACTGGAAATACGGTGCCCTCCATATTTTTGGCCAAGACAAAGTCCGCCTTGTATTATTTTATTATTATTGTTCTCGTTGTTGTTTGTTCCACTTGTACTTTTCAAAAACTACATTAATGTTTTCTTCGGTAGGAAAATTACGCAAGTTCATTAAGTAGAGATAAAACGTATAATACAATAAGAAAACTTTAACAGAAAAACAAGTCGAAACTTTCAATTTGAGTGTAAAAAAGCGATCACCATACTTTTGCGATATAAATTATAATTATGAGAGCTATATTCCAATAACAAATTTGAGATTGATAGGTACTTATTTGTAGAGATGTCAAGTGTTTTAGAGCTCGTTTGGATGTGCTTTTAAAATGATTAAAATCGTTTTTGGTGAAAATGTTTAGACCCAATCTTTACTAAAAGTGCAAGTCAATCATGTAAAAGCACTTAAATGCTTCTGGGAAGAAACATATAATTAGTGTTTATTGCAGAAAGCACTTCAATTGCTTTTGAAACCCAAAAATATTTTATCTAAGAACGTTTTTAGTTATTTTAAAAGTACATCTAAACGAATTCCTATAACTATCTTTATTCTAATTTAACAAAAAAACAAGAGAGAAAGAAAAAGTTATATCATGTCATAGTGGGCGGATTATGAAATTCTGAATCAGAATAGCAACAACAAATAAAGTAAAATAAATTGATTTCTTTTCTTTTACTTTCACTTTCTAGTATTTCTTCGTTGATGGTTTTCAATTGCTGTAAATTTCGGGTAGCAAATTGGAATAAAAGCTACGAAAGCTTTCGACTTTTCAGTCACGCGCTCTTTCTTCCACAAGTCGTAAAGAAACAGCAGGACAGGAGAGAGAGAGAGAGAGAGAGAGAGCCAGCTCCACCTGGCGATCTGGGACACGGATTCGTAAACACCAGGCATTTGGAGTTTCTGAGTTGACAGACGGCCGACCCGCTCTCCACGACAAACCCACACCCCCCTCCCACCTCTAATCCCTTTCCAATCCAATCCAATCCAATCAACTGTCAATTGCCTTATTCTGTTAATTGGGTTTCCGAATTGCGAAAAGTGTTTGGATTCTGGGTTTCCGATTCGGTGGACCTCCAGCTCCAGCTCCGGCCTGCCTCTGCCTCTGGGTTTTCATTCAAATTTAAGATCTTTTGGGTCTGAAAAAAAAAAAAGAAGCTTTCAGCTTGCTTGGCTGTTGGTGTAAGCTTGGAAAAGATTCCGGTCGGCGGTCGGTGTCGTTGTCTGGAGGCGAAGGAAGGTTTCGGTTTGGGGCTTCCCTTATATCAAATTTGGGAGGCTTTGGCTTTGATTCATTACGACTTGAGTTGATACCTGCTGCTGAGAATTAGTCAACATGGTTAGTGGGCATTTGTTCCATTGTAGAAAGAATTCATGGCCGCCTGAGGAGTATATCAGCAAAAACACTTTGCACCTGGTTGGTCATTCTCTCTCTCTCTCTCTCTCTCTCTCTCTCTCTCTCTCTCTCTATTTGTTTGTGTTATTGATTTGGGTTGTGTTTGGTTGCTGAGAAAATGTAAGAGGTGGCAAGAAAACAAGCAAATATGGGTTCCTTAACTTCCTTTAACTCTAGGATTTACTTAGTAAAGTCAGACACCATAGCTATATGTTTGGTTTCAATGATGATATTCAAATTCAAGTGCCTTTCAATCCTAAACCCTGTTGTCTAATGTGTGCAATGCAATTTATTTGGTGATTTCATTTGCATATTCTTCAAAAGTTTTTGAACTTCGAAGGAATTGGAGTAAGCAGTGGGAATTTTAATTAGCTATGGAAACAATTTATTTGTTAACGTAGTTTAATCAAATAGCTCGTCTTGCAGATCGAGTGAATCAAAATCCGTGCCATGTTAAAACTTAAAGTTCTGCGGTTTATCAAGTGTTAGTTCTACACATGCTTAACCTGTAGGATTTCCTACTAAAATTCATGCTTAATTTGAATGGTTTTTATCTTTTTTTTCTTCTGGTTTTCTATATTGTGAGAACATGACATGCCTGGAGTCCTACGTCTGTGTGTAATTCGACATTTGTGTCGGTTACCGTTGGTGGATTTCGGGTTATTAGTTGCTAATATATTATATCTACTCCATGAAACCCTTACTAAAAAATAAACAATTCTCGTGTTCTCTGTGAATTTTGTTTAGCATATTTCTTCCTGTCTTAGCAAGCAAACTGATTTTGGGCTATTATCTTTTGAGGTTCTTTCAACCTTTTGAGGAGGCCATGTTGTTTAGTTTATTCAAACTGATTATTTTTCTTGTTACTTTTGTATAGTTTGATTTTGATAGTGCTGCCCCACCAGAACATGCCTGGAGGAGGAAGTTAAACAGCCATGCTAATCTTCTCAGAGAATTTAGTGTTACATTTAGGGAAGCGATAAAGATGGTAAGCGGGTTGTTACTTGTTTTCTTTAATGTCGTTGACTAATAAATACGTCCTGTGCATTCTCATGTTTGGAGCTTTTCTATTTTCATCCAATTTCCAGTATCCCCTGCACATGTTATCTTTCTCTGACTTAGTGTGGAAAATTTGAATACTAGGTTCGCTTAGGTATACGCCTGTGGTCATACATCAGGGAAGAGGCTTCTCACGGAAGGGTAAATTATCTCAATCTTCTAGATATAGAAGTCATTTTCTATTTTGTTCTTTACAACTGGTATTTGTATGATTTATACCCACCTGTCAAATGAATGGGTGAAGATATGTCGTTACAAAGGTTGTTGAAACTTGGCCGCAAATTTTTTTATCCATGCAGAAAGCACCTATTGATCCTTTTACTCGAGAAAGTTGCAAGCCATCTGCAGCTCAGGGGGTTCCACTTGGAGGGATGGGGTACGTTGTGAATGAATAGGTTGCCTGAGTTCTATGGACTATTATCTTTGTTAATCTAATAGCGAGCAATTATCTACATGTATTACAGAAGTGGCAGCATATCTAGAGGTTTTAGAGGCGAGTTCAGGCAATGGCAAATCATTCCTGGTATCTGCAAAGGTTCTCCTGTCATGGCCAATCAGTTCTCCGTAAAATCTCTACCCTTGATCTTATATAGTTGTAATTTAATGTTGTTCTTTGCTTCTTCGTAACATATTTGCTATGCATGTGTTGATATTGTAAGTTTCGTTTATATTATTTATTTACCTCAGGCTAGCCTGATTACATTACCATCATCATTTATGTCATTTATGTAGATTTTACCACTATCATTGCTTCTGGGTTTAAAATTTGCTCAGTTTCCACACTATCTATATCAAAATTGGCACCCACATCACTTTTGATATTGTCGCTTGAACCCACCTTATTACTATTGTTGCAAACTGCAACAATCACCACAGATATGGGTTCTATCACCATAGTTACCACCTCATGTTCAGTATATGCAAATCCAACCAAATACAAACTGTTCCCTGTCATTGTAATTGGCAAGACCATCCTCAACTCCACAACCACATCCACTGAAGTATCCATTTTCTTAAAATTAACATACTTAGAACTCGTTGTAATTATGAACTGAAGCTAATATTTACAATTGAGTTCAAAAGGTTTCTGGGTTTAAAATTTGAAGTGCTAGAGATTCAGTATTCAGTGCTTAATCATCACCCTAGGAATTGCATATGTGAATGAGGTAGTCTATTTGTGTTTCCTCCCTCTAGAGTGGACATTTTCATGGGTAGCCGACACTGACCAACCCACCCAATAAAATTCAGGTTGGGTCGGTTCTACACTTTTAAAACTTAATATCAGGTCGTAACCTGCCCACCAGATGGCGAAGTTTGAAACCGGTTTGCAACACTATGTACCAGTTGAAACTCAACCTTTAATAAAAGGGTTTACTGTATGCATGGCTTCATTTGATTTGCTATTACTAACTCTAGAAAAATGTTCTGGCTCTTTAACACCACTGGACCATTTGACATTTGAAACCCTTCACCTTCTAAAGCCTTCTAGTTTTGTTCTCTTTATCAGTTGCCCCCACCGCCCCACTCTGAAATTTTGTTGTTGCTCCAAGCTTCTGAGCATCCAAATTCAGCCACAACCACTCCCTCTAACTCCCTCACACTCTTCTCTTTGGTATATCTCAGTCAGTCCCTCCTCCCAGTTGTGAAACCCGATAAAGCCGCTCAACCCAACCTGCAAACGATTGGTCTGGGTGTGTCGGGCATCCAATTTTATTGGCTTGCATCGGTTTCCTAGAATCACCAACCCAGTATCCTTAGATTGGCCAATGGATTGGGGCATAACCCAAGCCAACCCGTCCGTTGTCCACCCCTACTTCCCTAGCTTTGTTTAGTTGGTTATGTGGTCTTCCTTCAATCCCAATTATTTATAGTTCTGGTGGAGGCACATTGCACATCAATCCAAAATCTAGAATAAAATCTCTTGTCAGCGAAAATCAGACTTTTGTTTTCTGCCTGTAAGTTTACTTGTTGTGTTATAGTGTCTAGAGACCATATGGAGAATTGGAGATTGTGATGTTGCTATATTGCTACAAAGAGGACATCTTTGTAATACATTCAAGAGCAGTGGGCAAGGAAACTTCAATTTATGTGCTCTTGGTTGTTACTGAAATGTAGTTCATACAAACATTTGATAAGGTGGTCTTGAATTTAGAACACAACGAAAATTTGGACGAATTGTGATGGTGTTGTGAAAATCAATGCCCAATATATATCGGGCAAATTAGTTGTTTTAAGGATGATGAAGGGAAGGGTTTTGAAAATGTACAGTTCAGTTTGGCTGCTCTTTGCAACTCCAATCTGTTACCAACACTGTATTTAGCTGAGGAATGTTTATGCATTATTTTGTATAATGTACAGGAGAAGTGAATATTAATATTTTATTAGTTGTTTCTAGAGATAGAGCTCATTTCTTTTGTCCTATTTACTTTTTGTAATGTTGTAATTGTGACTAAGAGATTTATGTGCTATTGCAGATTTTTATATCTAGAGAAGGAACGAATAAAAATTATGCATCAGTCTTGGCCCCGGGTCATCATGAAGGATTAGGGTAAGAGGGTAGTCGTTAAGTTTAGAAACCATCTTCTGTAATAATTACAATTTCTTACCACCAAAATTCACTGAATGATGAATTCATCATACCTATACAATTCTTCATGCTTTTTACGTTTGGTTACTGCAAGTCAAGACCAAGCTTGTGGGACCATATATAATAGTGTCTTCCTTTTATGGCATCAAGGGGAATCGAAGAAGTCTAACTGGCAAATGTTCCTTGCGTACCTGGTCTAGTGGTCTTCTGTGACACTTCTTCAGGAACATTATAAGTATCAAAATTTATAGAGAATAAGAAATTATTGAAGCATCAAAGAACAATAGACTTTATTATTACACAAGGCAATATTTCATTGTAACTGGACTATCGTCAGAGTGTAGCTAGTTTGTATCATCAGAGGGTGTCTCATTTGTAATAATGCATATCACTTTTCAGTTTTGTTGATGGCTACGAGGAATTTGATGAATAGTGCATGAACTTGGTTGTACTATTTTTGTAGCTCTAAATTTACGTATAGTATTTGAAATTTCCTGATTGTTGACATCTTGATTTAATTTGACTGTTTTCGCAGAAAAGCTGATGATGAGGGTATATCATCATGGGGATGGAACCTGGGTGGCCAGCATTCAACATACCATGCACTATTTCCAAGGGCGTGGACCATATATGATGGTATCATTCTTCTTTCTTTCCTTTTAGCCATTGATCACATAATTTGTCCTCTAAGCTGCTGTTTCAATTTGGGTTGTATTATGTTTCATTTTAGGTGAACCTGATCCAGAATTGAAAATTTCTTGTCGGCAAATATCGCCATTCATCCCTCATAATTATAGAGAAAGTAGTCTTCCTACAGCCGTTTTTGTTTACACGGTAGGCTCATTCAACTTGATACCAGATATGTACAGATGAAAAAGTTCATTGTTCCATAAGCTCTTTCTATATTAGACAAGTGTTAACATAAGGATCTTACACAAGAATTTCAATGTAATTTTCTATGATGTGATTTGTTTATAAGAGTCTTCTTTCTGATACAGTTGGTGAACACTGGAAAAGAAAGAGCAAAAGTCAGCCTTCTATTTACATGGGCGGTAAGGTTATATTTTTCTTTCGGAATGGTTTCCGAGCAATTCAAAGATTCTTGGATATTTAGTAATTATTGCTTTTCTGGGTGTAGAATTCAATTGGAGGAGTCTCACACTTGTCGGGCGATCATGTGAATGAACCATTTATGTGAGTAAATTTGGTGGATGTTGTATGGCTAGTTGCCTACTATACTAGTACTGTGTTTTTAACATATTCTAACTTACTTCTCTGCTTTGACAGTGGCGAAGATGGAGTCTCTGGTGTACTTCTACATCACAAGCAAGTCACCAAACCTTTTTATGTTTATTTGACGGTTGGTTTGCAGATTTCTCTGCCGATACACTGTTTTCTAGGCCAAAATGAAGACAAAGTGTTCAAACAACCCCAAACAAGTGAAAGAAGTCAACCATTAGGAAAAAAAAGATGCTTCTGCTTGACTTATGAACTCAAAATCAAAATTCCTTGTAAAACTATCAGGAAATGAAATAAAAAGCACAAATAAAGAAGTATGGACAGATGTCATAGGAGCATTTAAGCAGATATATTTAAAGATTTTAGAAAGATTGATCGTCTGGTAAGAGTAAAACATATTTACTAATTTATTGGAATTGATATGTTCAATGCCAATTCTTGCCTTTTTGAGTTCCACGTTCTCCTATTTTTACAACTAGTAAGTCTTTTCCGGTCATCAACAATAAGTGCTGTGGAAAATTCATAATTGGTAATTGGGGTCACCACATTTGTTAACATTGAAAGTGTCCTGCTTGTGATCACCTTATTCAATACCTGTTCTTGTTTTTGTTCAACTATAGGAATTTTTTTACAAATTCTGTTTTCAACTCCTCTTATTTTGTTCAAAATAATGAGCATTATATTCTTATGGTTCTTGGTAACCTGAACCAAATTATTAAGTTATCACTCTCTGATTTTGGGAGTTGTTGTCATTCACTATTTTTAAACTTTAACTTGTTACAGTTGATTTTAACTGTTTATAACAACTATGCCTATGTTGCAGGACTGCAAAAGGGAATCCTCCTGTTACATTTGCAATAGCTGCGTGTGAAACTCAAAATGTAAGCGTGAGTGTGTTGCCATGTTTTGGGTTATCTGAAGGAAGTACCACTACGGCGAAAGAAATGTGGAATAAAATGGTGCAGGTATTAAATCTGTGGTTTGCTTTCTCAATTCTGTGCACCTTCTTGTTTTTTTATCGTGTAACATAATGCTAGGTGCGTCATTTTTCTATTTAGCCGAATCAATTTGCTGTCCTATCCAGCAAATGCTGTCGTTCAGCAACCTGGTTGATCAAGTTCAAATTTTGAGAATAATTCTACTTGGATTTTGCCATGGTGTTCCTTCCATTGTTTTACAGAGTGAATTTTTTTTCCTTTCCTTAACCCCCTTCTGTGTCTTTTTAGGATGGGCAATTTGGTCGTGATAATTTCAATTCTGGACCATGCATGTCTTCATCACCTGGAGAAACACTCTGTGCTGCAGTAGCAGCTACTGCTTGGGTGGAACCTCATGGGAAGTGCACTGTTGCATTTGGCGTATCATGGTCATCTCCAAAAGTAAAATTTTTGAAGGGAAGCTCATACCATAGGTAAGCTTATTGTGATTTACACACGAAAAGCTGCTTCAAAATGATGCATATTTAGCGGTACTGTACCTATATTATTTACAAACGAATGCCTTTAAGAGTTGTATTCTAGAAAGCGACTGCAATACTAGTGATGTGCATTTTGGGTTATTTGAATTTGTAATTTTGCTGCAGGAGGTACACAAAATTCTATGGGACCTCTGAAAGGGCAGCTCAGGACTTGGTGCATGATGCGCTGACAAGTATGTATCTCTCTGTTTGTATTGTGACCTTTTCATCAAGGCACTAATCTGTTGATATTCGCTAGATTTAGTTTTTGGCATACTTTTTCTTGTTTAAAAATGGGTGCGGTACATGTGATGGGTCCTGATCACTTTTGAAATCTGGACAGATTATAAGCGATGGGAAGAAGATATTGAAAAGTGGCAAAGCCCTATCCTCAGGGATGAAACATTACCAGAATGGTAAGAATGGAAGCATTAACTGTGATTGTTCTTTGTTAAATCATAATGTTCCATCAGATAATAAATTGGTTTCCTAAGTTGGTGACTCTGCCAAAAAATACCCAGCAGGAGAATTCTGAGCTTAAGTTTAGAGTAGCGTTGTCAATTCTTAAAATTTTGAAAAATAAGTGCACCGGTTCGCATAAAGAACGGCTTACATAAAGAAAGATGTTTGCATGTGTGTGCGCAATATGTTCCCTTTGGTTTGTTATAATGGATAGCGCTGTCCACCTCAAACATTGGAGTCGGTTTTGCATCTCATGAGATTGTGATGTTAGATACCTTCCTTATTATTCTCAACGAACAGCACACAACTGTGTCCACTGAAATCTGTTTTGAGCTCACTCGAATGATTGGTCCAGTTTCAATGGTCTCTGCAAATATTGTAGTCAATGCATCATATATGCTCATTTCCATTACAAATAGAAACTCCCCAACAAATAATCCATTGAGCAAACATGGAGAAGTTACTTTGCTATGTTTACCTGTCAATGATTAGCTATGAACTTGGTTCATCGATCTTGTAGCTAATACTTCACAAAATGTTTGCAGGTACAAGTTCACATTATTCAATGAGCTCTACTTTTTGGTGGCTGGTGGGACAGTTTGGATCGGTATTTATCTATAATCCTGATTTCCTTGATGTCTCACATCTCGAAATAGCATCTAAGAATGTTTTTCATGCGGACACTAGCTCGAATCCGAATGTGCACTTTTTTGTTAAATATTTCCTTCCCTTTTGGCTAATTTTACCATAAAACTGAGAAATGAGTTATAACTGTGATTGATTCGTACAGATTCTCCCTTGCCAGCAACAAACATTCCAGACAATCAACACCAATTGACAAATGTTGAAAATACAGATGTTAAGGTTAGCGAAGCTGAAGTAAATAACAATCACAACGCAGTTGTTGAGCACACTGCTACTGGTTGCCAAAGGAGTGCACATTTGGACCCACAAATTGCCAATGAAGATGTTGGGAGGTTCCTCTATCTGGAAGGAGTGGAATATATCATGTGGAACACATATGACGTACACTTTTATGCATCATTTGCCCTTCTCGAGCTGTTTCCCAAAATTGAACTTAATATTCAAAGGGACTTTGCAAAAGCTGTCTTATCAGAAGATGGAAGAAAAGTAAAGTTTCTTGCGGAGGGTAACTGGGGAATTCGTAAGGTTAGAGGAGCTGTCCCTCATGATCTGGGAACACACGATCCTTGGAATGAAATGAATGCATATAATATTCATGATACTAGTAAGTGGAAGGATTTGAACCCAAAGTTTGTGCTTCAGGTGTATAGAGATTTTTCTGCAACAGGGGATATGTCATTTGGAGTAGATGTTTGGCCTGCTGTTCGTGCTGCAATGGAGTACATGGAACAATTTGACCGGGACAATGATGGTCTCATTGAAAATGATGGTTTCCCTGATCAGACCTACGATGCTTGGACAGTTCATGGAGTAAGTGCTTACTGTGGGTGCTTGTGGCTTGCTGCACTTCAAGCTGCAGCCGCAATGGCCCTTCAACTAGGCGACAAGGCCTTTGCTGAATGGTGCAAAACCAAATTTTTAAAGGCAAAACCATCTTTTGAGGAAAAATTGTGGAATGGTTCTTATTTTAATTACGACAGTGGATCAAGTAGTAACAGTAAGTCTATACAAGCAGATCAACTGGCTGGGCAGTGGTATACGGCATCTTCTGGTTTACCTTCACTTTTTGATGATTTTAAAATCGAAAGCTCTCTGCAGAAAATCTATGATTTCAATGTCATGAAAGTTAAGGGAGGAAAAATGGGTGCCGTAAACGGAATGCATCCCAATGGGAAGGTGGATGAGTCTTGCATGCAGTCACGTGAAATATGGACTGGTGTCACATATGGGGTGGCTGCTCTGATGATTCTTGCTGGAAAGGAGAAAGAGGCATTCGCTACTGCTGAAGGTATTTTTATTGCCGGCTGGTCTGAAGATGGCTTTGGGTAAGTAGAACTTATACCTACATTATTTAGAGTAACCTATAGATACGCTTTCCAGATGTTTTGGTATTAACAAAGTTATTATTTTGGTTCTACTACCTACAGATACGCCTTCCAGACGCCTGAAGGATGGACGATGGACGGCCACTTCAGATCTCTAATATACATGAGGCCACTATCTATTTGGGGGATGCAATTCGCGTTGAACATGCCCAAGGCAATTCTCGAGGCTCCCCAGATCAACATAATGGACAGAATACATTTATCGTCTGTCAGTTCACGATCCTCTCACAACGAAACAGGTGTGAGAAAGATTGCAACCAAGGCAAAGTGCTTTGAAAATTCTGTTTTTAACTGTGCATGCTGATATTGTAACATGTAACTTGATTGTATCGTTAAAGAAGCGTCTAGTGAAATCTTCGCTTCCTCGAACCCTCTCGGTGTGAAGTAATATATAAGCCGGGAGAGGTTTGGGGGAAGTCTTGAAGAAATAGCCAAATAGGTTATAAAAAAAAAAAAAAAAAAGAGTTGTTTTCGCACCATGTTCAGGTATCTAATTCTGAGTTAATACAGAAAAATCTTGAGGAGGATGCCTAAGCTTTGGTTCCAGATTTGCCAAAGCTCCACAGAGTCTTCCCAATGTATGGCTCAACTGCATTTGATGGTAATTTACACTAAAGTTCTATTGTACCCCACGGTGCCTTATGCTCCGGTGTTTTTAGTCGTTAGATTTTGATAATTGTATTTTTTCTATGGATCTGATAACTAAAAATTCCGGAGCACAATGGAAAACTCCGTAATTTTTTTACATGAATAAAATCGGTGGTCAAAATTGCCACCTTCCAGTTCCTAATCTCTCCTCTACATATACCATGAGCTCAATTAACTGCATGCGTTCTGTCTTGAGCATTTGCATGTGTATTTTCATTGCTCGACGACTTCTTCACCGGAAAATGTACCACGTTCCCCCTAATACCTGTAAATCATAATTTGAAACATGCACAAATACTTCTTTAAAATTACGTTGCGAATTTTAACCTGTTCAACCTCCGCTCACCCTTTGTTATGTTTAGGGATTTTCAATTCTGCAGTCGGTGCAATGAAGCAAATCGTACTCAAATCAAAAGTGGTCCTCCTCAGGCCTCAATGTCATCCCATTTTGGAAGTTAACTGTCCTTGACTCTTTATGCAAGCTGACAATAAGAAGAACGATCTATTGAGGAGAGCAACTTGTATGAAACGTGTTTACCGTCACGTGATATTACAATCCAATAATATCATGTCATGTAAAGAAAAACTTACATATAACAAAATGTTACTATAAGGAAACAACATAGTGATAGTGAACCTGTTTCATTGAGAATTTTAAGCGGTTTAAAATAGAAATGGGACACCTTCACCAGTCACCACTCATCATTGTCCTTATCATATGCCAAAAAGTGTTCCCTTCCATGCCATTCCAAAGAAGAAATTAGAAAAAAGAAGATGGTGTCACTCTTTGTGGCGGTCCTGATTATCTTAGTTTTACTTTCGCGTCCGCACCTTTTTAGCAAAATGTGCAGCTTGACCCATGAGTTTATAGCCATCACAAACTATGCTGATAATGTTGCTTGAAACCTAGTGTATAGATTCGTGTTCTGAGTAGACGAAAAATTTATAAATATTAATCGTTTGGTTTACATAATTTAATTTTTTGGTTAAATGAAATTTAAGTAGGAGTAAATAATGTTGATTGTTATTGATGCGACGTAGAAGGAAAGGGATCCCCGGATCCCTTCTTCTTAATCCACCAAATTAGTGGATTTGTGTCATTGAAAAATGATCCAACAACTACAAATAGGGGTCCACTTTAAAAGTTATAATAACTTCAGCCGTTTGATCAAATTTCAATAGTTTGGATTCACTGATTTTGTGGATTAGGAGAAAAAAATCCGAAATGATCCCTTTCTGTAGAAGAAAGCATCGTTTTGTAGATTAGGGGTTGCGATGAATGTGGACAGGTAACGGACTCTAATACATTCCATACTTTGACCATTCATGGGCATCCAAATATTTTAAGCCAAAATTTAAACCTTTTTTTTTTTTAATAAATCCAAGTATTTAAGAATATTTCGATTAATTTAATGTTCAGATTAATTTGAGATCTAAAAACCAATAGTATTCAATCTTTAAAATATACACGAAATTGTATTTTTGTCAAAATTTCTAAAAATCAAGGATCGTTATGAAAAGGAGGTTGAAATGCAAACTTAACCTTATATCGATGAGATATAGAAAAATCAATGAATATCAATGATACTTACTGATTTAATTTTCAGAAATTTTGCTAGAAACCGTTAATATTATTAATATTGAAGTTTGATGAAATGTTTAAGATGCAAAATCCAAATACCATTTCTCCTTCTTCTTTTGTGTATTATTATTTCTTCAACTTTATTGGAGATGATGATCCGACCACAAAGAAAGACAAGGTCACAACGCATCCACATGCGACTTTGATTTTTCAACTCTACCCCCTTCAATATGGTTTTTTTTTTAATTTTTTTTTAAGGGAAATGGCTAAAACATACATCATTGTTCCATATTTATACGCATCTCATTAATTTTCTTCATTGTTTTTATTTGTTGATTCACATTAATAGCCAAGAATAAATGTTAGTGTGTGAGGTTATAAATAATGTGTAAAAATAGATTTATTTAAAAAAAAATGTAACAAGAGCGTGAAAATCATCTAAATTCAGCTGTGGTGATTTTAGCTCAAATAAGAGTATTAACTTATATTTCATCTAGTTTTATCACGAATTTGCTAATTTTATACTGAACTATAATAATTAAACTAAATGGATTAAGTCACGAAAAATTAAGTAAGGAACGTGTAGTTAAGTCGATTATATAAAACATTTATCACATCTCAACTTTAATTTAAAAATAAAGTTTCAGAATTAAAACTAGGAATATAATCAGACAAAATCTGATTACAAAAAAAAAGTCAGACAAAAATATAATTTATGTTTATATTTGTTAGAAAACAAATTGAATAGGAAGAATACAGTGGCCTAGAAAGCAAGAAAAAAAGGTAGGAAAATGATAAAGCTATGAGTCACAACTAAACGTGGCACGGTGGCACTGAGAATATTTATAAGAAAATTTAACGGAAAATCATCTGTACCGTTTATTTTAACAAAAAATTATATTTTTATATTAAAATATTAATTCTTGTAAACTGCTCATTTTACATTTCATTTTATCATTATCGTTAAAATTCAAAACTTTCAAATCATTGTCATCGGTTTTCTTATTTATAACTCAAGATCCATTTACTTCCTTCCTTCCTTCCAACTAAATAGCGACGCGATTCACTCGGTCTCTTCCATCCCTTCCTCCTATATCGTTGCTTAACCATCTCTCTCCTCTCTCTCTCTCTCTCTGCCGGTCCGAACCCCAGAAGAAGCCAAGCCACACCAGTCGCATCGCCATCTCCAACTTCACTCCGGTACGATCTATCTCTCCTTTCTTTATTTTCCCCGCGAAATTGTTCTGCTTATTATTATTGTTAACCTGTGATGGTTATGTATGTATATATGTATTATTTTTTTCATTTTTGGTGATGAAAGTTCATGCTTTTGACCGCCTTTTTATTTGGACTTTGTTAATTTTGCTTTTTCATTATCTGGGAATTTTATTGGGTAAGTTGGGTCGTGTTCCTTCAGATTAAAAAAAAGAAAAATTGTTTCTTTTTATATTGGTTCCTCCACTTTCTCAGCTGCCAAACAGAATGATAGCCTTTCCCCTCTCCACGATTCCTTGAAAATATGTATTATTTTTATATTTTTATGATGAAGATGATGATATTGTGGTTGCTGTAGATTCTGTTGGATTTACTCTGTAATCATGTCGAGGAAGATGCTAATTGATGGTGAGGTGAACCAACCTAATGAACAAGAGGCCCACTACGACTTCGACTTGTTTGTTATTGGGGCCGGAAGCGGTGGTGTCCGTGCCTCCAGAATTTCAGCTAATTTTGGAGCTAAGGTACATTCATGATACACAACCCAAACAACATTTTCGTCGATTATGTTCTCCTATGCATTGCTTGCTTTTTTCTGATAGAGGAGCATATCATGGGTTCATTTCATTTGATATCATAGGTTGGGATATGCGAGCTTCCATTTCATCCTGTCAGCTCAGAAGTAATTGGAGGAGTGGGTGGAACGTATGTTCATTAACAAATTCAATGTTGTCTTTGGTGGTCTTCAAGTTGCTTATACGGGTTTATGTTTGGACATTTGGTTTTCAGATGTGTCATTCGTGGTTGTGTTCCCAAAAAGATTTTGGTGTATGGAGCGTCTTTTGGTGGTGAAATTGAGGTGAGAATATGACATATACATAACTATTTATAGTTGATGTTAAATAGTCTGGTGAATCCGTAACTCAAGCATCTAGGAGGATCTTAGACGCTGATTTTCTGTGAATTAGCAAGAAGACAAAAACAAGCAGAAACAATTTAGTTGACACTCGAACAAATTGATCTGCATAATCTATTGCAATGCGAGGTCTATAGCATCTGCAATGTGTGTGTGTGTGTTCTTTTTCCTATGTACTTTGGTATTTCCAGTGGACAACCTGTTTGTTATGTTTGCATTGATATTTTTTTCTTCTTATCAATAAAGAATTAATAAAAGACATGGCCTGAAGAATTTATTGGTTTTGCAATTGCAGGATGCCAGGAATTATGGGTGGGAAGTGAATGAGAAAGTTGATTTCAACTGGAAGAAACTTTTGCAGAAGAAGGTTGGTTAGAAATTAGAATAGAGTTTGAGTTGTAAATTTCACCCAACCTAATGCCATGTGATTGAAAAATCATTTTATCAGAAATATTTAAATGTGTGTTGCCTTGCAAAATTATTACTGATATGCTAATTGTGAACTTCTACTTGCTTGGCCTAATTGTTCTAAAACCCCACAGAAAAAAAAAAAGCGTTAAATATGTATTGGCTTTGGGTTTTATTTTACAATTCTTTACTTGGTGTCTGCAATCCGGAAACATTTTCCCCCAGTTCATTTTAAATACCTTTTATTATTCATTAACTGGTGATTACAACTTGAAATTAACATGTATTTGTCTTCTTTTATAGACGGATGAAATAATTCGATTAAATGGAGTATACAAGCGCCTATTGTCAAATTCTGGGGTTAAATTGTTTGAAGGAGAGGGCAAGATAGTTGGTCCTAATGATGTCGAGGTGACACAGTTGGATGGCACTAAATTGAGCTATTCTGCGAAACACATATTGATTGCAACTGGCAGCAGGGCTCAACGACCTGCTATTCCTGGTCAGGTAGATTTTCTGCACACTGGGATTCGAAATGATATGCTAAATGTTTAGTTGGTACTTTATTACAATTTTATTTTGCACCAAGTGTGTTATGAAATTATGCAGTTATTTAAAAAAAAAAAAAAAAAAAAGGAAAATTTATTGAACATCAAAGTGATAGTTTGTCTTTGATTTCTTTATTCATTGAAAGAAAACATAACAATTGAAAGAAACTGAAGGAGAGTCCTTTATATTTGAAGTAAAGCCAAACAAGCTTTTTGTCAATCCATTTAAGATTAACAGAGCTGGTGTTTATATTATTCAACTGTCCTCCATTTGCAACTCCACTGGCAGTATTGCCTGAGTTTGATTAAATGCTTAAAAATGGTTGGTGCAATACTACTATTTGCCGCTTGTGTGGTTAACATGTATTCTTCTATTGTTCTAATTTACATTAATTGACATTTCTAGGAATTGGGTATATCATCTGATGAAGCATTGAGTTTGGAGGAGTTACCTAAACGTGCTGTGGTGCTCGGGGCTGGGTTTGTCTTAGTCTCTTCCTTTGTGTTGTTTGTTTAATTTTATCAGCTTAGCAAGCTCATTGTTTTTTCCATTATCCTCTCCTCATGTTAGGTACATTGCTGTTGAGTTTGCTTCAATATGGCGTGGGATGGGTGCTTCTGTGGATCTATTCTTCAGAAAGGAACTTCCATTGAGGTTGTTATTTGGACGCTATTGCTCTGTCCATTTATGAACTGTTAGGCTTTTTGATCTTTATGGTTGAGTTAGTGGGATGGAAAATTTTTCTGTCTATTATTTAATATTTGTTACGAGTGTCGCACACTAAGGCATTTATTGTGTGCTGAGTTGGATTTTTAACATTTTGAGGGTTTTTTTTTTACTGCATGGTAGATATTTTTATTGTGCTCAAACTTTGAATAAATCAAGTGGGATGACTCTGAAATTAAGAAATAGACAATGAACTTTAATTCTTTGTTAATGATTTTTTTTGGGACCATTAATCATCAATTTCCTAGTCAGTGCACCATTGTTATGACGTAAGGGTTTTATATCTTGCATGATTTACGGAACCTAATGCTCTTTTTCTTTCCTTTTTTGTCCCATGCTTTTTTGAAAAGAAAAATTGGCTTGTTTCCTTCTTATTCGTGCCTCTTACAGAGCTTCCTGATCGAAAGAAATTTAAATTTAGTTTTTGATGATGCTCCACTTACCTTGCATTTGATAGCCAGAAGTTGTTTCCTTTTCATGTATGAGAAGTCTATTGCATTCTCACTATATCGGGCACTTCTTCTGCAGAGGTTTTGATGATGAATTGAGGGCAGTGGTGGCACGGAATCTGGAAGGAAGGGGAATTGATCTACACCCGCAGACAAATTTGACAGAGGTATTCAGTCTCATAGGAAGTGTGGATTGACCTTTTTGGCTGTCCTTGCTTTTGTAGTTTATACGTTTCAACTTCTGTTTGATCTTTGCTTCTCATTGTACTGAATTATTTCTCTGAATTCAGCTAGTAAAAACAGAGGATGGCATAAAAGTTCGCACAGATCATGGGGAAGAGCTGATAGCAGATGTTGTACTGTTTGCCACTGGTAACTACATACTCATTTAGTTGAATTTCTTATGTGGGGCTTGAAGTTAATGTTACTTACTAATGCTAAAATAAATTTAAACTAAGCACTAAAACAAATGAAAAACCATGAGCTCCTACTTATTGTTGATTTTAGCAATAAAAGATTTCACATTTTGGCATAGGTTGGAGGATGTTACATTTTTAATGTAGGTTAATGGAAACATTTTCCTTGTCAACTGATGTCAATAAAAAAACTTTTCCTCTCCAAGAATCCAACTCAAGTCAATACCACTTGTTAAAGTTTCTCTTCATTGACCTCTCCTAAAAAGGGCAAATTGATTGACCCAATGGTCCCAATCCTAATATTGAAATGCACTAGTTTATGTCGGAGGTTAAGTTGATCATGCTTGCACAGAAATTAGGATTTGTTCTAAGCATTTATTTTCACTTGCATTTTAATTTATTTTTCAATTTTAATGTGAAAAATACACCAATGTTGATGCCCTTCGAATTGCACCTTGTTGCATATCCTGAGTTTAAATGATTATAATAATTCCAACTGTTGCACTACTTTAACGTTTATCCAGACATTTTGGGAATTTAATGATTCATATAATGGTCTGTTCGCTAGTAGTATAAACTTGGGTTGTTTCTTATAACTTGGAGCATTTTAGGGGTGAACACTGAACATTGTAATGATATTTTGTAGTTATGGTTTTGCCTTAGTTTCTTGCACAGATGATTTTATCTCAGTCTATAAATGACAGGTCGGTCTCCCAATACAAAGAGGTTGAATTTGGAAGCTGTAGGCGTGGAACTTGATAAAACAGGAGCTATAAAGGTTACTAGCTTTGTTTTTTGCATTTTGTGCTTATTATCATTTCATGTGTTTCAACTTTTGAAATGGATTTTTATGTGCCTGAGTTGAGCATTTTCTAGACATTTGAAGTTATTGCGAATCCGGTCGTAGTATCTTTTGTATCTCCTGTTAATTTGTAGTTGTGAATCTGAGAGTTCAATATTTAGTTTGAGTCCCCTGCCCTTTTACTGTTTGAGAAGGTAAATGGCTTTGCCTGCACATTTTTGGGCCCCCTAACTACAGTTTGGGTGTTCAGTAATATCTCAATTATCTGTCGTATTGTGTCCCCCCTGCCTTTGTGGTCATCAATGCAACCATCAAAGGTCGACCATGTAGCAGATTGACCAGTTCAATGCATACGCTTGATATGCAGCTGGGGTTTGGAATCATACCTTCTATTTTCAGGTTCCATCCTCGCCAGTTTTAGGTGTGCCCTGTAATTAAGTGATGAGACTGGATTGTTGACTTTTGTAAATATGTGCGAAGTACAAGCTGGGGTTGCAAATGTTATGCCACCAATGACCTATCATATAGAGCCCTTTCTTTTGGGTGGTCTCCGTTTAAGGATGGAGACGCGGATATATCCTTTTTTGTGGAAAATATTGATACCAAATAGAGCCTTTTCTTTTAGTGAAAAAACAATATAGGTTTATAAAGTTGATTTTTGTTATACTAATTCATCTTACCTTGTTTGTCTGTTTCTCTTTTCCTACAGTTTTTTATTATTCATTTGTCTGATCCTTTGTCTTAACCATGCTGGCATGACAGATTGCACTTGATGTTTACAGAAATAGTTAACGTTTTACTATTCAAGCAATAATAACATGTAGGTAGGTCTCTGCTGTCTTTTCTCTTCCAGGTGGATGAGTATTCACGTACCAATGTACCTAACATCTGGGCTGTTGGCGATGTTACAAACCGAGTAAACCTTACCCCTGTGGCTCTAATGGAGGGAACATGCTTTGCAGTATGTATTTTCCTTATCCACTTTCCTTTAACTTTATCAATTGTGTAATATTTTCCCCATAGATTCTGTGCTATCTCAACAAGCAGGTGATTTGATACTGTTATTTGTTTACTTTATGTTCCCTACAGAAAACTGTTTTTGGTGGGGAACCTAGCAAACCAGATTACCGCGATATACCCTGTGCAGTGTTTTGGTAATAGTTTTTTCTTTTAATAAATGGGCCTTCCTTTGTTTATTTACTTGGTGACTGTTTTTGTATAATGGGGCTGGTCATGATAAATACGTTACATACTTGTGTTTGGTGGTTTGCAGCATACCACCTCTTTCTGTTGTGGGCCTTAGTGAAGAGCAGGCAATAGAACAAGCCAAGGGTGATATATTGGTTTTCACATCAACTTTCAACCCAATGAAGAACACTGTATCTGGGTACGTATGTCATTATGAGGTCTTGCTCTAAATTATGTTCATGGTCTAGCAATCATATGCTATCTTTGGATCATAGCATGTCACCACATCGTTGGATCAACATGAGAGGTCACTTATCAGTTGCACAATTATATACGAAAATTTCTGATTTCATTCAGCATCTAGTTATAAGATATATTGTTAACCTTGAACCTCTAGTTACTCATTATGAGCAAAATTTGTTGTCTTCTCTTAGTGTTTTAAGCACGAACTCAGTATTTCTCATAATTCTTATATAGACGACAAGAAAAGACAGTTATGAAGCTTATTGTTGATGCTGAGACGGATAAAGTCATTGGGGCATCCATGTGTGGGCCAGATGCTGCTGAGATTATGCAGGTATATATTCTGTTGCTTGTACAACCTGTAAATATGAAATGATCTGTTCTGTGTTGTTAAATTTAACAGTTTTGAGACGAACCATGCTCTATGATTGCCCAAGATTTCCACGTTTTTACTACATAAGTAATGGAATAATTTGACTATCAAGTCCTTGAGAGTGTGTGCGCACGTGCATGCATGTGGTACTTGAGTATCATTTCTGGGATAATAGGCTTCTTTGAGTTTGATCTGACAAAGTATTTCATACCAAGGCTTTGACATGTTTAGGAAATAAGGGTGAGTCCGGTAACAATCTTAAGAAATCCTTGATCAGTGGGGAAAAAATTTGGCGTACCTGCTTATAAGAATAAAAATTCAAAGTTGTACAGGCTCTGGAAGAGCGTGTTTAAAATTGATTTTCAAATAAGGTGTATGGTCAGGTGGAGGAGATCTTAGTTCATGTCACAGGAAAGCTAAAACTAATTAGCTGATAGGAAGCGTTAACGTCATAAGATTCATTCCCTATAAAATAAAGCTTCTCTCACCATGTTGCTGAGGTTTTCTGTAACTCGAGTTTATAGTGCTTCTAAATGCTGTCTATAGTACGATTGATCTCCTTGTAATTTCACCATCTGTTTTGGGTGCCTTAAACAGGGAATCGCTATTGCATTGAAGTGCGGAGCAACCAAGGCACAATTTGACAGTACGGTAAGTCGTGTATTTAAAGCTGGGGACGATTCAATTTCTGAGCTGCACTTTTACTGAAAATGTTTTTTCTTTCATTCATTGTGCAGGTGGGAATTCACCCTTCCTCAGCAGAGGAGTTTGTGACAATGCGTTCAGCGACAAGGCGTATTGCTGCAGGTACCAAACCAAAGACAAATCTGTAGGATGCGAACAATGGACGGAAAGAATAGTTACAAGGTCTGGAGGAGACGGTGTTTTGCTTTTACCAGAGGAAACTTAGGTATATTTGGGAAATTGAAATTGGTCGAATTTCGTCAGAATAAAGGCTTCTTCGAACGCATATCTGATTAGGGCCGTATAGGTTCTCTGATGACTTATGAAGATACAAAACTGTTGTATTCAAACACATACACTGCTTTGATCCAACATTTGATATCTATGATTTTGTTGCTGTGTTTTACATCCTCAGCTGCGTTAGTTGATATTCGATGTTGTTTAATTAATTGTCCGTTTGATTCTGTTTCACCTTTTCGACGAGGAATAGGATTCTGTACTTTGCAAGGGGTCCATTATAAGGAAAACTAATGAACAATACCGGAAGGGTTTCGTTAAAAATGAATAGTACTAGAACTGTTTCGTTAAAACTCCCTTATTATACCTTAAGTAAACTGCATCTAAGCGGAAGCATAAAACGACACGAAATATGAACATAATCTGCACTGTGAACCGAGATTTTGTAGGACGATGCGGGGGAGAATAAACCGTAGATCTACATTTGCTGCCCTTGTATATGAATGCAAAATACTTTACCACTGAACAACCAAATACATGCACTATAGCATAAAACTGCACATGTACCGAATTATACAAGTACGTATTTCGTGCCTAGGCTACTGGTTTCCCATCACATACGTCGCAAATCGTATACCCGAGACCTTCACAATATGGACACTTTGCTCCCTCCTCCACCCAATCCAAGAACTGCTATCATTCAACCCAATATTACAAGTTAATCTTGGATGATTCTGGGAACAGAAGAATGAGAAAAATAATAACTAACGTAAAATCATCTCACCTGTTCTTCAATGTTTGGCTCGCCAGTTCCGTCACATTCTGCACATGTAAAAACTGCTTCAGTTACTAAAAGCCATCGGTGTTCAACATTATATTTGGAAATCAAATCAAAGAAAGATATAAACACGCATACGAAGAAGGGTTAAATTTAGTGAGAAGGTCGGAAGACAGAGAGGGAGTACCTGTACACAATAAGCGACCCTCCCCTCGGCAAGTAAGGCACCTTGTTGAGGCACCCGCAGTCTTGCCATCACCACCTTTTTTCTTGTTGGTGATAAGTCTAGAAGAATCTTCCCAGCGGTTCTCTCCTAGAAGAAAAACTCGATGGTGGGATACCTCTACTTCTGTACCGTCTTCTTCTTTCACTACTGTTTGCTGGACCTCTGTAATTTCTGTTGCAGAAGTAACTGCAGCTCCATTTGCATCTTCCTACGCAACAGAACCCACTCAACCATTACAAGAACCACAATGTGCTTAAGGCAATGTTGTGTGATGTTGAGTTTATTTCTTTGTTAACTACTCGTCTCGTGAAGTGGAACTACAAAACCTCCTGTCTGTGTAAGCAGAATAGAGTCAGATATTTAGGTCCGTTTCATTAAGTACTAGTGCTTCTTCGTTGGTACTCGAAGGCTCAATTCATTTCAAGTTGAACTGTAAGACGAGTTGTTGGTTCCTCATCGAGCAAACTATTATTTTTCTCCTAAGTGAGGAATGCAGGTGATGATTTTCCAAACCAATTATGTTAGTTCTAAGCATGATTACAGAGTACGATATATTGGTACTGAAACTTAAACATTAGTTTCTTCCTTTTAGTAAAGACTTACGCGGTTTGTCCGGTAACTAATATATGAATGCTGCTAGCCTAGAACCTCATGGTTCCAACATACCTTTGGAGTAGTCGCCCTTTTGTCATCTGCAACCTCAATTGTTGGATCCGCAAATAATAGTTCAAGAAGTTCTGCAGTCACTATTCCGTCTTGAGGAATGTCTAAGGAGGCCTGTCGAACAAGTTACTACAAGTTCAGTAACCTACACAACACTTTCCACTGCCATTATTTTGTTTACCCTTATGCAGTCGTATACAACGAAATCTGAAACTTACTTGCCAAGTTTTGACAGCGCGTTCTGTTCCGGTTGAGAAGCTGGAAAACTCCATGTCTTCCTCACCCGAGTAAAAACCGAGTTTAAGCAATGCTTCCTGTCATCAACAATTTAAATCACTCGAATATCGGAACATTTCTGAATGCAGAATAAGAAAGAGAAAACCCAATTGAAATATGTTGATGCATTTTGGTTAAACAGAAGGAATCCTAGAATCCGAAAAATCAAAACTCGCCTTTCAAAAGCAGACCTGCATTGCTCGGACTTCTTCACCTTCCAGTCCCTTCCGCAAAGCACTTCTGCTCCTCCTCCTCGTCTTCTTCTCCTCCTGCTTCACTTCCGAAACCGCAATCACCTCCTTCTCCTGAATCTCCTGAATCTCCTGAATTTCCTGATGATTCAACTCCAGGGGTTTGGAGCTCGACCCTGTCTCCGCTATCAGATTCTTCTCCTTTAGCATCTGCAGCAAACCGGCGACGCTGGCGATGGTGTCGGACTCCGACACCACCGAAGCCCCTCCTCCCAGTCCTCCCTGGCGCTCCAGAGCCTGGATTTTGAGCTTGAGCTCCGCAATTTCACGGAGGAGCGCGTCGCGGTCGCGCGCCCAGCGCTGTTCCTCCCGGAGCCACCTCTGCTCCTCGCGGAGCCATCGCTGCTCTTCGCGGAGCCACCGGGACTCTTCGGCTGCGTCGTGGGAAGAATTTGAAGAGAAGCAGATGGTGTTGGGGGGTTTTAGGGATTTGAAGGAGAGGGAAAGTGGGGAGAGAGTGTAGTAGTGGTGGCGCCTGGGGAGGAGAGGAGGAGGAGGAGGAGGAGGAGGAGGGTGAAGAAAGAGAACGAGAGAGGAAGCTGCAGACATCCGTGAGAAATCACAGGCGAAAATTGAAATGCAGAAGAAGAAGATATGAGTGAGTGAAGGAGTGAAAGCAGTGATACGTATTTGAGTGGATATCAATCAAGTGGCTCACGCAACTGTCACCATTTGGCAACCGCCGCTTCCAACCGTTGGAAGCATTTTTGTTCACCATGCTAAATCGATTTTTATAAGAAACTCTAGCGAAAAGTTTTCGGTAAATTTTAAGGTTTGTCTAATAAAAGTAGTATATACTCACATATAAGGTGTGTGAAATTTTTTACTTTGATTGTTAAAATTGAAAAAGAAATGAAGAGAGTGAGAGATAACATGGGAGTGAGGAAAGAGGGAGATAGGTTGTTTTTTTTTTAACATGTAGGTGAGGTTTAAAAAAAAAAGCAAAATTTGTTTTGTGAAATTATGTTACTGTTTTTAACTTTTTTTGTTGTGATAGAAGACAAAAATGTCTTTTCACCCTATTTTAGTTGACAAAGAAGGTTTCATTAATGTAGTTTTAGATAAAATAGATTAAATCAAATTTATTCAAAGGTAATGAAGTTAGTGATGGTAAAAAAAATCACTTTAGGGTGGTGAGCAAAAATATTTTTTTTTCTCATAAATATACATTTTAATTGATTTCTATTTTTGAAATACTCTCCCTTACGTCAATGTGATAGTTTGAACACTCCCTCTCTTTTAATAATAATACATTTTTCTACAAATAGTGAAAGCGTAACAGCAAAAACTTATTGCCACAACTTTTAATTTACTTTTTCGAAGTATTAAAATATCGTTATAAAAACATTTTATGTGTCATTTTAGGCGCATTATAATTTATAAGCTTCGTAAAACAAATAGCTCTCATCTAAACATAATTAGCTAACAGCTGTAACAACAAACTACCCACTAGACGTTTCAAAGACCGGATCTGCTATAAGGTCAGGGGGCTCTTCAAAATTCAACCGAGAGAGAATTGTCACAAAGCAGAGCTATTCGAGTGAGGAGGTGAGCAACTTCATTTGCTTGGCGACGCACCATCAAAGGTTTGGCAACTTCCACAATTGGTCCAACATAGGACGAATTAGGAGAACCCTCTTGCCAGGCAGCAACAATCTGGAGAGAGTCGCTTTCGATCAAATATTATGCCAGCTCCTTTCTATCGCCAAGATAAGCCCTTCTCTAATTGCCAATGCCTCAATTTGAAGACATGGGCAACAACAGGTGGTTAGAAAATCCTTTGGAATGGTTTCGTCCGTTTTGAGATATTCCACTATTGGTGGAAGAGACTTAGTTTATCTGTGTCTCTGATAGCTTAAGCTAAATAACTTATCCATGTGTATTGGATACAAGCCCTTTGAGGTCAGAATTAGATCTATTTAATCCTCTGACAAACACACTAAGCTAAAAGCTCGCGATCAGATCTGAATGGAGATTCTAAGAAGTAGGTTCTCATGCGTTAGAATAAGTCACTTGTTGATCTAGCGTGCACTATCAATTTATATAAAAGATTATTATGGAGTCTCCCTATGATGTAGACAGTGCATCTACTGCAATGTATAAGATTGATCTTATGTTCTTAATGGATACCAGAGTCTTTATATGTGGAGTGGCGTGCTTGATTGCAACGTACACTTGATGGTTCACCTATATGAGTGTGAAAGTGAGGCCGCTTCCTATGACGGCTTGGGCAGTTTCTCTAGAGCACTCAAGATAATTTAGCTTGGGCAGGTTCTGTTGACATTTTCTCATTATTTATCACCATGTACTAGTTTTACACGGTGATAAATAATAATTGTCAAAGGACTGGATCATGATGCTTCCAGTATTACCCAAATCAATATTACAAATGTTAAAAGTGGGAAGGCGTACCCTGAAATGCAAGGCAAATTGTTAAAGGACTGGATGATGAAGAAGAAAGGATTGAATTATTTGCCTTGTTCAAAACTTGGAAGATAGAATTTAATACACCAAATACATATATCATAGAGAATCTCCTCTACAACCCTCTAATCCAGATAATAATTGACTGAACATGCCATGAATCTTCTTGCTCATACACTAAGTACCTAAACCATGCTTTACAAAAAACAACCCTGTATCGAACAATCAACTTTTCCATGAAGGTAAATACCCAATTTATGCCAACCGTGCGTAAATGAGCGAGCATCTGATAGGGGCTTGAAAAACCTGAACCATGTTCAATATCATCGATCAACAGAATCCCAATAATATTAATCAAGGATGCATACAAGAATGCAATTACGTAGAACACATCAGAAAAGGTTTAGCGGCAACCTGGGCCTGAAACATTGATCAAGTAGCTGCCTGCCATGCTCAGTCCAGCTTGACGTTAGAGTAGAGTAACGTATCCCTGGTGACTGGCATATTCACAAGGAAGCACACCTATATAAAGAAAAGACACAAAACAAGTAAATATCCTTCTAACCACCACACAGGTAAACACATTATTGATCCACACGATCGGTCTAAACTATAATTAAACAATCGTTAGATGATTCACTTTTGTACATTCAAGAAAAACTTCAGATAAAAAGTGGTTCATGTAGAACTAGGTTCATTGTTTCATCCTTAAGTTTGTCATGTCCTGGCCAAAGTCCAGCAAAGCATCAGATGTTATGGCCAATGGGTTTTGTTCATGGTTTTTTCTTCTTTTTCGTTTTCAGCTGACTCTGATCTTTAAGAACAAGTGAAACTTACCCCCAAAAGAGTTGAAATGATAAGAATAATTCCTGTGATCCAAGCAAGTGTACGCCTAACCAATAACACTTGCACAATTTTTGTATTATTCAGGCCTTCTTTTTCAGCCAACAAACGAGCATATGATCGACTAGTATACATCACATTCAACATCTTTCCCGACTCCACAGGTGCAACTCCATTGAAAAGGATAGCTCCAACAATTTGACCTGCAAAATTGTTAATTTAACATTATTTCTAAAGACGACGACGAAAAATTTCAAATGAACTATTGAATGAAGAAAATATATATTCATGAAAGTACCAAATATATGGCAGATATATACATAAAATTGGCAACGATGTTTGTAGAAACAACAATTGCTTTAAAAGAACGAGAATTAACTAATAAAGTTTAAAACCAAAATGATCACCTTTGTATGCATTTTCAAGTGAATCAAATATCTTGGACAGTGTAGCAAGCAGTAGCTCCACTCCATGTTGAGCAGCTCCATCAGTTCCGTACTGCTCTTGCAAAACCTATCATAAGGTTTTGAAGTTTTTTTTATTAAGCTATGGAACTCGATGCAGACACACAATAAAAATAAACAAAAAATAGAGTCAAGGAAGTGCATGCATATGATTTGACTGCGTGTACACAATTAATATATGCACATATACCAAATATATGAATCTTATGCAATGCAGTTTCGATACTATATTTTGATATACTCTTTTCTTCTTAAAGAGAAAAAAAAAAAAAATATCAACTAATCAAAGTGAAGAAGCTGCCTACAAAGAAAACAAACAGACCTCTAACCAGTAAATTGCTATAGATGAAGAAACATACAATGCCCAAAAGTATCTTTAATTAGAAGCACAAAACATCCCTCGAGATAACCAAAATGAACTTTAACACTGGCCTTCCAATCCACATGAATAATAGAATAGTATATCCCAAATCCAGAGGGAGTCAAAGCACACAATGATGTCAAAAGTAAATTCCACCCTACATACCTCCACTGGTATATATTTAGATCTTGTTTGTCCTTGTTCCTAACCACAATTTTCTTTTCTCACTTTTAAACGAGTAGTTGGATCCAAAATCCCTAATCACTTTTAAACGAGTAACTAATCTGTAAACTGAAATTACAGTATTACACCAATACTCCACACTATTTTACACCTAAATTAAAGGACCTACTTGTTTCGGTAAAAACATTGCACACAAAATTGACACCATTACACGATGAAATAGGTATGTTGTATTTTTGTGTTCGTAGTGATGAGTAGGGAGCTGGATGTTATGGATACATTTTGTACCTCTAGTGAACTACTGGTCCACTGCAAGCATGTTTTGTTTCTTATTAACAAGAACAAAACAAAAAAGAGCATAAAGCAAACAACCACACTTCAAAATATGTTCTTTATTACTTGGAGTCAACCATGTTTGAGCAGTGGGTCGGTGGTGATAACCATACCCCAAAAAAAGAGAAGTACCCCACAAGCAAATAGATCTCTAAACTATATTATGCATACAAGAATGTGGATGGTTTAAGATTTCCAGAATCCAGAAATTTTCAGTACTATGGAGTTCCACAAATGAAGTACAAAAAACCGTCGAAGGATACTCTTAACAGAAGAGTACGTTATCACTTATATTAACTGAGAAACTGTGGCTTGCCTGTCACAATAGACTTAGGGGTTCCTTTGGTTATGCTTTCTCTTTGTGGATGCAGGATCTAAACAAAAATGCAAAGTCTGATAGTGGTCTGCTATTTTATGATCCTTAAAAAAAAAAAACATATTCCACCACCACCCACCCCCTCACCCCCTCACCCCCCCCCCCCAAAAAAAAAAAAAAAACCCTAAACATATACATATGTACAGGCAGCAAAAATACTTTTTGTTGGTTACTACTTTGCCACAACTCAGAGCACATACAGCTTTGAAATTCTTAACAGTTACATTAGTAACCTAACTTAAATATACATAATATCAAGCTTTAATTCTACCAGCAAGCATATCTGCTGACATCCATTTTAAACTTTGAAGTCATCCAAAAAAGGAAGAAAACAACACCTTGATTCCATCAAAACGGCCTGTTAATAACTCAGCTGGGCTATGGATGTTGTGTGACAAATCTTGATGCATCTCTGTTGCCCTTTTAAAGTTGCGGATGAGAGACAGAAGGCTAGTTGTGAATATCCTATCTGATTCCTGTAAACATATACGATGCAGGCCTTCCAATATAAGCCACCATTTTACAACATGTATACAATGCATATCAAACAAATGAACATGTTGTAGTGAATCTCAGAAAACCTTTGACATATGAAGCTTCAAGTTGTCGCCATTGGCCAAAGGGATGCTCAACTCTCCATTTAGTGGTTCTAATGTATCAATAACATATGAACCACTCATCCAAGCTGCCTAAAGAAGAAAAAAATCTTAACATTAAAATTAAAGCAAAAACTCAAGTTCATTTTCATGTATACGAGAATAAAAAAACCAGGCATGTGGAATAGATGAACATCAAAAACAAAACATAATACAGAATATCTTCAAGCCAGACTCACAAAATCTCCAATCTCCTTGTCAGTATAATCTGTCGATTGTTCATCCAAAGAAAACACAGAAACTTCACCTTCATCTGCAACAACACGTATAATGGACAAAATTTACATAATTCTAAATGAGGAATAGACTAATGTCCTTGCACTAGTTTCACAAGTTACTCATTTAGAAGGGTAATATACCAGGAAGCTCGATGTCAGCTTTGCTTGAGCTAAGGTCGATCTTGGAACTATAGGCACTGCTGAACATGACACTGTCTTTGACTACAAGAGCATGATCTGCAGGTATTTTGACATCAATGTTTATAATAAGTGCACAAAGTAATATAATAATGGTAAAAGTGTATAAGTTAACATGCATTTTACTATTTTAGGGACCAAGTTATATACCACCAATTCCTCCGATTTCAAGCGCCACAACAGCTCGAGGCCTATTGAATGGATTAGGCACAAGCACCTCATTCAACTACCGCAAAGCAACAACAAAATATGACAAATTAGATCTTTGAGTAACACGATGGGGGTAACTAGAGAAAATAACTTCACATTACTTAGTATCCACACCTTAGCTGAACCAGTAGCTGAGAGCGTGGAAGGTGGTGCAAATCCAAGCAAGACTGACACAGCTGCACTGACGTCTGAGAGCAACATTGATTCGGGCTGCGTAAGCAAAAGGCAAGTAGTATTAGCAGATAAATGAAGAAAAATCTGCAAGTATTCAATATCTAGATAAAACAACTGAAAAACAAAAATATCCCTTGCAGTACCAAAATCAAATATAACAACAAGAGGTATGCTTAAAATTCCGCCAAAAAATCCCAGGAATCCCTTTTGGGCGGAACAAGAAATACGTTGACACGATCAAATTTCTAACAATTTCAAGTTCAATTAGGCTGAATTTAATATGTGAAGTTGTGACCTTTACATAATTAAACTGAATTGGGGAATTCTGAATCAACAAGCAATTGCGGGAATTACCTTGACGACATCGTTTGAGGAAGGGTTACGAAGAAAATGATGAGTGGAGCTGTCGATGAAGAAGACAGAGGTAGTACCGTCAGCCTGATTCAAAATCGAACAAAACAGTAATCAGATCGGCGACCTATCATTATCACATAGATATATACACACACAAATATATATATATATAGAGAGAGAGAGAGAGAGAGAGAGAGAGAGAGAGAGAGGCGAACCTTAGCGTTGGAGGAGATAAACGAAGCAATGGCGAGTATGTAGAAGCAGATGGTGCGTGTGAGTAAATCCATGGGAGAGAGAGGATCTGATCTGTGGCTCTGCTACTTGGAATGAGGAAGGAGGGGCGAACTGATTCGTTCCTTTTGATTTCAAGAAAGAAGCCGCGAGCGACGTCGTATCAGTCTATACTCTTCCTTTTTTTTTTTTTTTTTTCTTTTTTTTTTTTTTCTTTTGTCAGATAGTTTGGAACTAAAACCTAATCATTAGGAGTATTTATGTGAGCAAACGCTAGTCTTCAAGTTATCAATGAATCACGAATTTTGTACTAATTGTCGTAATTGTTCATATTCTTACTCGTGCACACTGTAAAAATAATCTATGCAAAAAATCAATAAAATATAAGATCGTCTTCGAACCATATAAAAATATATGGAGAATTCAGTAAAAGAATTACAAAATGTCCATCTATTTGTTACAGTTGATTGATTAAACGACCTTATTTTAGTTGAATTTTTACAAATATAATTTTTACAAAATGATTTATAATATGAAATATTTCAATTTATAAGCAGTAATAATCAGAGTGTTCCGTAAATTAGTATAAAGTATCTTAAAAGAGTCGAGTCTTTCTCTTTCAAAAATATCATTATGTCCTCTCCTTTTTTATTTAAAGTTATGCCCTTATGAATATTGAATGAAAACACGTACGACTTACGGGCATAAGCTTTGTTTGACACCAACGTGAACAAATAATCAAAATTTCGAAGGGAAAACGGCGATGCTACCAGTATCACCCAAATCAATATTACAAGTGTTAAAAGTGGGAAATGCAAGGCAAATTGTCGAAGGGGATGATGATGAAGAAAAGATTGAATTATTTGCTTTATTTAAAACTTGGAAGATAGAATTTAATACACCAAATACATACATCATAGAGAATCTCCTCTGTAACTCTAATCCACATAATAATTGACTTAACATACCATGAATCTTCTTACTTATACACCTAGCGCCTAAACCATGCTTTACATTACCCTGTATCGAACAATCAACTTTTCCATAAAGGTAAATACGCAATTCATGTCTACCATGCGTGAATGAGCGAGCGTCTGATGGGCTACAAAAACCTGAACCATGTTCAATATCATCAATCAACAGAATCCCAACAATATTAATCAAGGATGCATACAAGAATGCAATTACGTAAAACACATCAGAAAAGGTTTAGCGGCAACCTGGGCCTCAAACATTGACCAAATAGCTGCCTGCCATGCTCAGTCCAGCTTGACGTTAGAGTAGAGTAACGTATCCCTGGTGACTGGCATATTCACAAGGAAGCATACCTACATGAAGAACAGACACAAAACAGGTAAACATCCTTCTAATCACAAAACAGGTAAACACCTCATTGACCCACATGATCAGTCAAAAAAATATATTTAACAATTGTTAGATGATTCACTTTTGTACATCCAAGAAAACATCGATAAAAAGTAGCTCAAGTAGAATTAGTTTCATTGTTTCATCCTTAAGTTTGTAATGTCATGTCCAAAGTCAAGCAAATCATCATACAAAAAGTGGTTCATGGCCGATGGGTTTTGTTCATGGTTTTTTCTCCTTTTTCGTTTTCAGCTGCGACTATGATCTTTAATGACAAGTGAAACTTACCCCCAAAAGAGTTGAAATGATAAGAATAATTCCTGTGATCCAAGCAAGTGTACGCCTAACCAATAACACTTGCACAATTTTTGTATTATTTAGGCCTTCTTTTTCAGCCAACAAACGAGCATATGATCGACTAGCATACATCACATTCAACATCTTTCCCGACTCCACAGGTGCAACACCATTGAAAAGGATAGCTCCAACAATTTGACCTGCAAAATTGATAATTTAACATTATTTCTGAAGATGACGACGAAAAATTTCAAATGAACTATTGAATGAAGAAAATATATGTTCATAAAGTACCAAATATATGGCAGATATACACATAAAATTGGCAACGGTCATTCTAGAAACAATAATTGCCCTAAAAGAACAAGAATTAACTAATAAAGTTTAAAACCAAAATGATCACCTTTGTATGCATTTTCAAGTGAATCAAATATCTTGGACAGTGTAGCAAGCAGTAGCTCCACTCCATGTTGAGTAGCTCCATCAGTTCCGTACTGCTCTTGCAAAACCTATCATAAGGTTTTCAAATTTTTATTAAGCTATGGAACTCGATACAGACACACAATAAGAATAAATAAAAGAACACACAGACAAGAAAGTGCATGCATAAGATTTGGCTGTGTGTGCACGATTATATATGCAAATATACCAAATATATGAAACTTATGCAATGCTGTTTCGATACTATATTTTGATATACTCTTTTATTCTTAAGGAGAAAACAAATATTTTATTGAATATGTATCAACTAATCAAAGTGAAGAAGCAGCCTACAAAGAAAACAAACAGACCTCTAACCGGTAAACTGTTACGTATGAAAAACATAAAATGACCAAACGTATCTTTAATTAGAACCACAAAACATCCCACAAGCTAACCATAATGAACTTTAACACTGCGGCCTTCCAATTCACATGAATAACAGAATAGTATATCCCAAATCCAGAGGGAGTCAAAGCACACAATGATGCCCTAAAGCAAATTCCACCCTACATACCCTCCACTGGTACAATTTAAAAGAAAAATACTGTACTTCGTTTAATCCACACAACCCACAACATAGCACAGTTAAATACAAAAAGTTTATTTCCTGGACCAGGATTGAAAGACGATTTTTAGATCTAGTTTGTCCTTGTTTCTAACCACAATTTTCTTTTCTCACTTTTAAACGAGTAGCTGGATCGGAATTTTCCCTAATCCGTAATCACTTTTAAACGAGTAACAAATCTGTAAACTGAAATTACAGAATTACACCAATACTCCTCGCTATTTAACACCTACAATTAAAGGACCTACTTGTTTCGGTAAAAACATTGCAAATAAAATTGACCGTTATACAATAAAATAGTTCTGTTGAATTTTGTTTCCGTAGTGATGAGTATGGAGCTGGATGCTTTAATTCTACCAGCAAACATATTTGCTGACATCCATTTTAAACTTTGAAGTCATCCAAAAAAGGAAGAAAATAACACCTTGATTCCATCAAAACGGCCTGTTAATAACTCAGCTGGGCTATGGATGTTGTGTGACAAATCTTGATGCATCTCTTGTGCCCTTTTAAAGTTGCGGATGAGAGACAGAAGGCTAGTTGTGAATATCCTATCTGATTCCTGTAAACGTATACGATGCAAGCCTTCCAATATAAGCCACCAGCTTTACAACATGTACACAATGCATATCAAAACAAAAGAACATGTATAGTGAATCTCAGAAGACCTTTGACATATGAAGCTTCAAGTTGTCGCCATTGGCCAAAGGGATGCTCAACTCTCCATTTAGTGGTTCTAATGTATCAACAACATATGAACCACTCATCCAAGCTGCCTAAAGAAGACAAAAATCTTGACATTAAAATTAAAAGTCATTTCATGTATACGAGAATAAAAAAACCAGGAATGTGGAATAGATGAGCATAAAAAACGAAACAGGAAATAGAATATCTTCAAGCCAGACTCACAAAATCTCCAATGTCTTTGTCAGTATAATCTGTGGATTGTTCATCCAAAGAAAACACAGAAACTTCACCTTCATCTGCAACAACACGTATAATGAACAAAATTTACATAATTCTAAACGAGGAATAGACTAATAGTAATGTCCTTGCACTAGTTTGACAAATTACTCATTTAGAAAGGTAATATACCTGGAAGCTCGACGTCAGCTTTGCTTGAGCCAAGGTCAATCCTGGAACTATAGGCACTGCTGAACATGACATTGTCTTTGACTACAAGAGCATGATCTGCATGTATTTTGACATCCATGTTTATAATAAGTGCACAAAGTAATACAGTAATGGTAAAAGTGTCATAAGTAAACATGCATTTTACTATTTTAGAGACAAAGTTATATACCACCAATTCCTCCGACTTCAAGCGCAACAACAGCACGAGGCCTATTGAATGGATTAGGCACGAGAACCTCATTCAACTACCGCAAAGCAACAACAAAATATGATAAATTAGACCTTTGAGTAAAACGATGGGGGTAACTAGAGAAAATAACTTCACATTACTTATTATCCACAACACCTTAGCTGAACCAGCAGCTGAGAGCGTGGAAGGTGGTGCAAATCCAAGCAAGACTGACACGGCTGCACTGACTTCTGAGAGCAACATTGAGTCAGGCTGCGAAAGCAAAAGGCAAGTAGTATTAGCAGATAAACGAAGAAAAATCTGCAAGTATTCAATATCTAGATGAAGCAACTGAAAAAATACCCTTGCAGTACCAATATCAAATATAACAAAATGAGGTATGCTTAAAATTCCGCCAAAAAATCCCAGGAATCCCTTTGGAGGGGGAAACGAGAAATATATTGACACGATCAAATTTCTAACAATTTCAAGTTCAATTAGACTGAATTTAATATGTGAAGTTGTGAACTTTATATAATTAAATTGAATTGGGGAATTCTGAATCATGAAGCAATTGCTGGAATTACCTTGACAACATCGTTTGAGGAAGGGTTACGAAGAAAATGATGAGTGGAGCTATCGATGAAGAAGACGGAGGCAGTACCGTCAGCCTGATTCAAAATCGAACGAAACGGTAATCAGATCGGCGACCTATCATTGTCATGTATATATAGATACACACAGATATATATAATATATATAGTGAGAGCGAGAGAGAGAGAGAGAGGCGAACCTTAGCATTAGAGGAGATAAACGAAGCAATTGTGAGTAAGTAGAAGCAGATTGTGCGTGCTAGTAAATCCATGGCGGAGAGAGGATCCGATCTGTGGCTCTGCTTCTTGGAATGAGGAAGGAGGGGCGAACTGACTTGTCCTGATTATTTATTTACAAAATCCTTTTTGATTTCAAGAAAGAAGCCAAGAGCGACGTCGTATCAGGCTGCATTCTTTTTTCTCTTTTATTTTTTTTGTCTGATGGTTTGGGACTAAAACCCAACATTAGTATTCACGAAGAGTGAGGAGGAAGTTTCTCTTCAGGATATCAAATGAATCGCAAATTTTGTACTAATAATTGTAATTTTTCATATCACTACTCACGCACTCTGTAAAAAGAATCTATGCAAAAAAATAATAATAAAACATAAGGTTGTGGTTTTTGAACTATATAAAAATTTATAGAGGAATTCAATAAAAAAATTATAAACCGTTAATATATTTGCTACAATTAATTGATTAAATGATCTTATTTTTAATTAATTTTTTACAAAAATGATCTTTACATAATTATTTGTATATGAACGATTCTGTTTATAAACAACACGAAATAAACAAACACGAAATGCCGGAAATTAGTAACAAAGTTATCAAAAACTTTCACTATCAACTTCCCTGAAGACTCAAACTCAAGCCTTTTCTCTTCCCCGTAAAAATACCATTTATGTCCAATTTTTTTCAAGCTATGCCCTTATTTTATTAAATAACGGTTTAATCATTAGGGGTATGGATATCAAACTAGGGAATTATTATTAGCATTCTAAAAATCTTATTTGGCACTCCAAACTTTCTATAATTAGAAAGAAAAATACACATGTGAGGAGTGCCAAATGAGATTTTTGGAGTGCTAATAACAATTCCTATCAAACTATTAAATAAAATATTAAAGAGTAATGATAGGGAAACTAAATTTAGAGGCTAAAATTGTAAATTAAATGATGTATCATCAATAAAAATGAGCACGTCTATCAACACTTAAGTAATAAATCAATCAACTTCTATGTCCTTTAGCTTCTAAAATTTAGTCTCCAAATTTAGTCTCCCTATACTCAAATATTAAAACATTAAAATTCTTACAAACCCACTTTTCTTATCTACAACTCCTCACAATTGCTCAACATATGCATAGTATGTCAGCAATTGCTAGGTTATGATTAAAGAATTTGCATGTATATGCATCCGCTAGGAATGACTTGCAATGAATGTGTATTATGTGTTTACTAAGGCCTTCTAAAATGGTGTTTGATTTCATATTTATAGGAATCAAACTTTTACAGCAGGAAAATTTGAGTTTTACGAGAGTGATTCTAAGTTTTGAGTTCAATATTGAACTTGTGAGTTTGATTCCTATATAATAAGTGGCCAACTTCTAAGTAATTAAAAGGTCGTTGATACTTGGTATGACATTACCTAGAACATGAAGCTATATGATAACTAATGGAAATTGTTTGATTCATATTCATTCTATCTCATCCTCATACGAAAGCAAGTAAATGCATGTATATAAAGCGAGAAAGCAAAAACAGTGCAACGTTGTTCTATTAATAAAAAGACGGTTAAGACTAAAAAGCACCTTTAGTTAATTAAGAGCATCTCCAATTATGTTTTTTAATTTTTTTAGTTAAATTTTAGATAAAAATACTAGAAAGCTATTTTAGGACTTCCCTTATTTAGTGATATCTACACACTTATTTTTACTTCTCACACATTCTTTGCGAAATTATCACAGAGATAAGCAGAAGGCCTACTTCCAACAACGATATTGTCCCCAATTTGTAAATTAGCACCTACATAATCCATTAGGTATGGAGTTTTATCACAAAAGACATCGGTATTAGTTAGACTATAATCAAGATATTTAAACTCTTGATACGGTCGATTTAGGATATTTCAACACCCCTTTTAATTTCGACCATCAGATCGAATGAATTAAATCAATCATCCAAAATTAACAAGAATATGTGAAAGATTTAATTAGATGCATAAATAGCACTATCCAATTTATATTGCTTCTTTAGTGAAAGCTGGTTGTAGAGCGGTTGTATATAGTCAATGTGCCTTATTAGCTTTATATGTAGTTAATTTAATTTGCATACAAAACGATCATCACTTCACAATACCATTAGGACAATGTGTTGGACAATCATACAAATTAGAGGGAAACATACAACTATATACAATTATAAGGATAGTTAAATTGACTAGAAATACTGAGTTTTTATCTCTACGTTCAAGTTTGAATTTTACTTCTCATAATTTAATTTAAAATTAAATTAGATTATTGCTCAGAAAAAATAAACCGCGAACGCCATCGCCCCTTAATTAATAGTCTATGTAAAATACTGAAAATATATTTGAAATATGATATGGTGAGGATATATTAGAAGTAGACAACTTGACAGTGCTTTCCCTTGCATGAAGAGTGTTTGCATGACAAAGCTAATACTATTAACACATTATATTATATGGCCTCTAAATCTCAATTCATCATTGCAGTAGGTAGATGCAACATAAACTCATGGTCATATATATCCTTGCACTCTTTAGTGGCCACCGCCAGCTCCAAATCCAGCTCCACCCCCGGCACCACCACCAAAACCACCTCCTCCACCAAAACCACCACCTCCACCGCCACCTAGTCCACCTCCAACTCCTCCGCCTTTCCCAAACCCTCCACCAGCTCCAAACCCTCCTCCAGAACCACCACCAACACCACCACCACCCCCAAACCCACCTCCACCACCAGCACCGCCTCCAAGACCTCCGCCTGCACCAACACCACCTCCAAAACCTCCACCTGCACCACCACCCGCTCCACCACCGCCGCCAAGACCACCACCTCCGCCAGCTCCACCTCCGGCACCAAACCCACCACCAGCTCCCGCTCCTCCACCACCACCAAGTCCACCTCCACCGCCTAGACCACCTCCATGTCCAATGCCTGCACCTAGACCACCACCTCCTCCTGCGCCCCCTCCACCGCCTAAGCCACCCCCAGCACCACCACCAAGCCCACCTCTGTGTCCTATACCTCCACCTAGACCACCTCTATGTCCAATGCCTCCTCCTAGACCACCACCTCCTCCTCCGCCTAAGCCACCCCCAGCACCACCACCAAGCCCACCTTTATGTCCTATACCTCCACCCAGACCACCTCCATGTCCAATACCTCCTCCTAGACCACCACCATGTCCAATGCCTCCACCTAGACCACCGCCACCTCCTGCGCCCCCACCTAATCCCCCACCACCTCCTGCACCCCCACCTAGACCACCACCACCACCAAGCCCACCACCACCTCCTAAGCCACCTCCAGCACCCCCACCTAGACCACCACCACCACCAAACCCACCACCACCTCCCAAGCCACCTCCTGCACCTCCGCCAAGCCCACCACCACCTCCAAGACCTCCACCTCCACCTAGACCTCCCCCACCGCCAATGCCTCCACCAAGTCCACCGCCACCAAACCTTCCATGCCCTAGACCTCCTTTCTTAAACAAGTGCGGGCGGGGACGCGGAAAAAGGTGCTTATCATCCTTAACACTCTTACTGCTAGGGCTAGCATGGCCATCAGCCACAACCAAATGACTCACAAGAAAAGCAAATAATAAGAAAGCAAGCACCACAACACAACCTGAAACACGATGAACCCTCATCACCACGTCTCCCAAAGAAACAAACAAATGAAACGCTTGAAGAACAAGAACCAGCTAGATGTGCACAAGCGAAATGAAAGCATATGAATATATAGCAGACTCAGTAGTGAAACTGAAACATGAGGACGCTCTGATAAAGAGGTTAAAGTCACCCACCAGTGAGCTGTGACGCTTGGATGGAGTAAATTGGGCTCAACTGCATTGGCCAGGTAATTTATTAGGCCAACTGTCCTCCCCCTCCAAGTCCAACACCCTCTGACATCAAGTCCCGACTCCCCCTTGCTTATTAGGGTTTTGACTCAGCTGCCTTCTTTTCCACCATATATATAAACCCTAATTTATTTTTCTTTTCAATTTTTTTTCTGTTCTGATCGAGAATGATGCTAGATATATCCATGTACTGTGTAGAGGAGATCATGAACTATAATACTAAAAAATTAATGATGGATTGGATTTGGAGGTCAACTTTGATAAATAATGTTGAGTTGCCAAATTTCCAATTTCCAAACTTGCCATCCCGGCAGCAAGTTGCAACTTGATCGATCGATTAACTAATGTGATTTCATTTAATGGGGGCTTTCTGCTGCCATCAATAGACCAACCAAACAACGTCCCGCCACCATTATATCTTCATATACACAGCTCCCTCTCTCTCTCTCTCTCTCTCTCTCTCTCTCTCTCTCTCTCTCTATTATATAATTTGTGATTCTCATGAAATGTATCACACAAATTATTTATAATTGCTTTTTTGGTAATTTTGTGAGTTCATTAACATACATACATATGACTAATATTGCAGTCTGGAGTGCTTTTGGGCGCCGATTAAAATCTAGGGTTTATATGTTTGTGAAGATGACCAAACTGCCTTCGCTCTAGTTCAATTACGAGAGTAGACATGCATAGACTTCGTTATTAAAAACGAAAGTACAGTTATATACACTTTTAAAATTGGACATACATATCTAATATTAGAAACTTCTTCATCCTATCATCCATCGTATTCCCAAAGGGAACTACATTTAACACGTATCATTTATACTTTGTGGCGCGCGAGGTTATATATGTTTCTAATTTGCATTTTTATTGTCAAATAATAAAAATTATTTTAGATTCGAATGGAAACATTAATTTACATTGGATGCTGATGTGGTTTTTTTTTTTTTTGAAACGAACATTGGATGCTAATGTTTTAAACAACCATATAGGCTCAAACTGGTTCCATCTATGAAGACAACCCTTATGTGTTACAAAAGAAATCACCTGGTGGCAAGAGTTCGTCCGTGTTCAAGCTTCTGCGTTTACGACCAACAATACCCATTGAGTCCTACCAAATGGAAGATGCCTCCCTCTGGTGGCCTGAATATCAACTTCGATGGGGCTTGGTGCAAGGATTTTCTAGTGGGAGGGTTTGGGTGTTATCATTAGGGACGATAAGCTAATTTTGTTGCTGCGTCCTGCATGAACTTCCAGTATGTCTTTTCTCCCTTGCAGGCAGAAGCTATGGCAACAAGGGCATGTTCAGTTTGGGCGGACTCAAAGGGGTTTCATAAATTTTTTATTGGAAGGAGACTCTCTTCAAATTGTGACGACTCTTTGTAATACATCCACTAGCATGTCATCAACAATTGGGCAGTTAGTATAAGACACGAAGATTATTCTCAGCGTGATCATTGAAGATTTATGCACCCATGTCCGTTGCCAAGCTAACACGATTGCTCATAGACTTGCTAGGTTTGGTTTGAATGTTGGCATCCAATGTGAGTGGTTTGCCCAACCTCCTAGTTTAATCATTGACCTCCTTGTTGAGGACTCTACGTAACTGGACTATGTACTTTGGTTGAGACTTCTTTTGGTCTTTTCCTGAGTGAATACAACACTATCGCTTTTATCAAAAAAAAAAAAATGTCACTAGGGGTACCGTCGCGTCTGGTTACAAATCACGGGGAGCAAACACAAATACTACTAACTTCAACTACTGCCTAAGTCATTTTATATCAAATACAATAGTAGTCATTCTATCACAGAATCAATTTGGATATCACCCTGAATCATGTCAATGAGATCTTGACTCCACTTCAAATGTTTCTAATTACATTTTATGTAATACTCTTTTTTTTTTTTTTTTTCTTTTTTCTTTTTGGAGTATTTCTCGTTGAATTGTTTTAAGGGTGAAATTTTTGTCAAATTAATTTATTAACAGAATCACCAGTCGTACCGTATCAAATTTGGGCCAAAATTTGTACCAATTAGTGACGATATAAATTAACAACACTTCTATGAATGGTTAAATTCACAATCTCACAGCATCGTGGACGCAACTGTTAGGGGGGAGTTCAATGGCAAGGTCCCAAATCAAGCTATCAAAGCCTTGAGACTACTAAGGAGAACTATCAACAATGCCACGTGACATAAAAAAAGGCAAAGAGTTTCAACCTCGACTATCCCAAATAGTGGCGAAATTATGAAATTGGTGCCAAGTCGATGTTGGAAGAGCTAGTTGCTCAAATATTGCAAACCCTCCAAGAACCCAAAAAAGTAGAGATTTTTCAATGTGCTGAAACACGGCCTAGTATATCAAATGTAATAATATAATTAGTTGGAAACTTGAAAAAAGAAATTTCCAACTAGTATATTTATTACACTTAATGTGTACTGGTTGTATTCCCAACATATTGAAACATTTCTCCAGAGAAGCAAGCTAACACCAGGCAATCACGAAATTAGAGATGTAAGGTGAACAAAGTTCCCAAGTCATTCCAAATTCAACAGGACAAATGTTTTCGTAAATGAATGGAAGCCAAGAAGAATTGAAATAATTTCAATAGCATGTTTTTGGCAAATGAGTCTACAAGCCTAGGAATCCTAAAAGAAAAAAAAATATTTACCTAGGAAAAAACTAAGCAGAATTTATTCTAAAAGCATGTTGATAGCCTCGAGAGAGAAAAATAGAGGAGAAAACTCGTTGTCGAGGCCTCTCCCTATCGGTGAAAATAACTCAACTAGAACTTGCTGCTCAACCTCGAATGTTAAAGCGATGACTGTTGTTCAAATACGAGATTATGATTTTTTTGGTTTGTGGGTTTGGCAGACTATGAGGAGGATGCTAAACGTTTTGCGGTGGTGAATCCTTGTGTGTTATCATAATATCATCTACATTGTTTCAATGCGACCCTTATGATTGAAGAATTGTAGTGTTTATGCAAATTTCATGTTTCTTTGAGACCTACATATGACATGTTTATCCCCAGTAAGTTCTCGAATGTTATTAATGGTCGAGTGACTAAAACTCTGTTTGGTATTGCTTTTTTTACTAAAAAATGTTTCACCTTAAATTTAAGCAATAAAAATGTATTTGGTAAAAGTAAAATATCCTACTTATTTTAAAAGCAATTGACTCCAGACAATAGCTTTTAAAAGCAGCATGTAGATTGCTCTTAAAAGCTACTTTAATAAAAATGAGAGTTGGGTCTTTAATAATTATTTTCAATTATTGTAATACCTTCATTATTTTTTTTTAAATAACATTATTTAGCCTTCCACACACATTCTACCCTTAGAGAACAAAGTAAATGTGTCACAACCCGACGCGCGAATAAAGACTATTCACGAGTTAGGGTGTGATCCATATCTTAACTATAGAAATAAATTCTACAACCAAGATATGGTGGAAAATAAAATAAAATTATAACAATTACACCACACATCAACAAAATCTTACATACAAAATTTTAAAATACGCATCAAAATAACTATAATGCACAAATTAATTCACAACAAAAACTACTAACAAAATAATAATTAAATTGTAACAATTCTTTCAAATGCATGAAATATATGTAGATGAGATTGATGAATGTACTCACTCCCTTCTAATCCCATCAACACATACCTAAGACACCTAAGCCTGCACATCCCATACCATACTTATACCACTTGGCTCCAAGTACGTTAGAATATGAGTTAATTCCCGTTCATCCCTTAAACCCAATTTTTGTAGTTAAACTCTCAGTTTCCACTTTATTATACAGGCACTTCCCCCGACGTCCAATTTTATATTCAAGCCCTTCCCCCGACGCCTGACATATACAAGGATTTCATTATTTTTATAATCAACCAATTTGTATACTCAAGCCCTGCACCCTACGCCTAACATATACAAGGTTCATTATTTTATATTCATGGCAAACTTCAGCCCTTAAATATCCTTACAACTCAAACACTTTACACAACTCAACACAACTGAACTCTCTTTTTTTGCTCTGCAATGCATATGTATATGTCATGTTCACATAGATATGAATACTCACATTTTCTTTAACAAGCCTGTCAGCTTCAACATAAATCAAATTAGTTAATAACAGTAGTAATATAATCATAATATTAACCACAAAGTAATAATCTTTAAGATCAGCATAAATGATAAACAATACGTTACCATATGAGCACCAAAACCCTATTTTTAAGAGCTCCGATCGAAACGCTTCCTTCACGAAAGTTGTTCCTTATCATCTCCTCTATAACATATCCAAAAACCACGACAATTCAATCTATGTGCTGACTTGTACCCCAGTTCAAATAGCTGATGTTTTGTTGAGCTAGCCTTCTCTGCCAACCTCTTTGCATGGCCAACATCTTTAGTTTCTTTCCCTCACTTTCAAGGAAGTTTTTCAGCAATCCGACTCCTATTACATATGTAGAATTTTAGCTATATTATAGAAGAGCAATGGGAAGTGGTGAAGGAAGAAAGAGAACAAAAGGGAGGAAATGAAATTGAAACAAGCTGTCCAGTTTCCCCAGGATTAGAGACAGGAGTTGGTATTTCAGACATATTGGACGATCATACCGTTGGATTTTCTGAAATTTTGATATATCATGGTAGAGAGACAGACAAACAACTCTCATGAAGGAAGTATTATAATATAATCTATGAATGATAGTGTTTTGATCTGTTAAATAGGCTGGACAAATTTCTAGTTTTTGGATATCTTTCTTTTGATAGATGAGAATGATAGTAGTTTGATGGAGAGATTTGTTGGGTAAGTTCTCATGTATTTTTTTGGGATTTGTCTCACACTTGTTGTACATCATTCCCAAGAGAAATAAATGGAGATTTTGATGGTGTGATGGAAGTGCTCTCATAACAATGATCTCAAAATGTAAATGCATAAACAACACAAGATTTAAGTGGTTCGCCAAATCGACTACATCCATTGGGGTTTGCTTTCATTGTATTTCACTATATATGGTAGACTTACAAATACAATGAAAGATGACTTTAAGCCCTAAGAACATGTAAAAGAAAAATAGGAAGGTAATATGAAAGGGAGAATGACTCCTTGTTGGAGTTGTTCTTTTTCTTTTCTCCTTCCTCTCTCTTTTCTTCTTCCTCTTTCCTCTATGTCCTTCCGTTTAGTAGTGCTCCTTCCTTTATAGAGATTGTATTGCATCTTCCTCTCCAAAGAATCTCCACAAGTGTGCCAATAGAAAGAAAGCAAGTGTTTGCCAATCATTAGACATAAAATGTGTTCCAATAGAAACACGCCAATTGTTAACCTAATCATCACCATGAAATGTGTTCCAATCACAGGACAACAAATGTTGTCCTAATCCTTAGTAATGAAATGTGGTCCAATAGAAAAACAACAAGTGTGAAGCTAATTATGAAATAATGAATAATATGCAAGATGTTCCTTGCACCCAAAGGCCACGTCCAAACAATTTGGGGAATGAATCCTCACCAATTATCAACCATGATATGTGGTTCAATAGAAAAACAACAAATGTGAAGTTAATCAATATCATGCAAGGTGAATAAACACTCAAAAGTCATGTTCAAAGTCTAAGGGATATGCATCCCACCCGTTCTCACCTCATTGGAAAATTTGGAATGATAGATTGAAGCATTGAAGAGAGAATATAGACAATTAATTGAAATTCCCCTAGGCTAGTGAGTAAGCACTCTTAAATAACAACATATTGCCACATGCATGCCAATACATACACATACCTAGTCTATGGCTCTATATGGACTCACACCTCTCAAATGTTTACGGGTGAGTAATCTCTCTACGTTAACTCAACTTGCCAACTCACTCCTACTTGGTAAAAATATCAAACCAAACTCAACACCTAGCCACACGTATAAGCCAAAGGCTTCCCACCTCAACACCCTAATTATTATCTTCTATTAATTACCAACTTCCACCTCACCCTTTGAAGAAAAATCAAGCCAAACTCATATAATCTCAACTTAATCTTAGCTCTCCAATTCAAGCTAAAGGCCTCTCTAATTAAATATGAAATAATATATACTAACCAGTGTTGAAATAATTTTGTAGCAAATAGGATTTTACATTGAAACTACTTTACATATCGAAAGTAGGTTCTTGTACGTAAAAATAATTACCCACATACATACATATATACATATAACCATTTTTTTTAAATACGGGGTATTACAAAACGCTACCACCTACCACTACAAATACTAACCTTACACCATCACCACCCATTTTTGCCACCACCACCGCCATAACCACAACCTTCACCACTGTCATCACTACCACCATTGTCACCACACTCACTGTCGTCACCCCCACCACTACCACCATTGTTACCACCATCGATGCCTTCATCACCACCACCATTACCCCAACCGCCACCACTACCACAACAACCACAGCTGCCACTACCACCATCATTGCCGCCACCATTGCCACTACCACCGCCCTACCACCATTGTTACCTTTCCACCCCAAAAAACACATCCCAATATTAGTAACACCACCACAACCATTACCACCACTGCTGTCGTCGCCCCCACACCTACTACTATGTCAATTTGTCATTGTATACAATTATATCATTTTTCCATTAATTTTACTAAATGTTTTTTTCGCTATTTTTCATACTCATAGAACTTTTAAAATTCAGTTAACCAAACGTTCATTGGCTTTATTTTACAGTTGATTATTCATAAAATATAGCATAAGCAAATTTTTTTTTTTTTTTTTAAAGCATAGCAATCATAAACTCCAAACTCGTCCTAAGTCGTGCATATGGCCAAGAGACTGAAGACATGCATGCTTCTTTCTCGATCATCGCTTTGATATCCATCAAACCTACAAACTTGAGTTGAGTTTCTATATTTTGCAGAGAGAATTTTTTTTATATACAAGCAACATTACATAAGAAATCAAACCCAATTTTGAGTAATATGCCAGTTTGAAAACACTTCTAAAATAATCACAAGAAGAAATCAACAATCAAAATTTTGAGTGAATACTCATGACTACTCGTATTGGCGAGATATATTTCAATGTATTAGAAACATGATCCAGCACATCAAGTATTATAATACAATTTTAATTGAAACTTTTTTTTTTTTTTTTTCCGAGTTTCTAGCCAATTGTCCTCCTACGGTCCTACCTCAAAACAGAAAGGGGAGGTTTGGGCTTTATAAGGCTGAGGGTTGGGGAAGGAAGCTAATAAGGCTCATCTTCGGTAAAACACGTCTTTTTCTTGGGTCAAAGGTTTGGGTTATGTTCAAAGTGCCTGGATTTACTTTACAGCGTAAAACTCAAAACTCCAAAACTCCCATGTATGTATATCTACGATCCTCCCCCCACGTCTGTCCTGTTGCTTCCATTTCTCCAATCCCAAGAAGTAAACAGTTATAAATTACCTGAATTTCTGCTATCCAAGTCCGTACGAGTCTCTGAAAAAGTTCCCAGTCTTCCACCAGCAATACATGCTTGATCGACGACGATCGTCGTCGTCCTCTTCTAACAGCCTCTGATCCGAGGGTTTCATTCTTCTTAGGTTAGCTTCTATCAATGCAACTTACGAATTGCACTTCCAATTCCACAATCTCGCCAATTAATTTTCATTTTCTGAAACATTAAATTTGAATTTTTTGTTTCCTCTCCTTTTAATGCTATGGATTATGGAAAGTTTGGATTTTGATTGAAGTTTTGAATTGGGTTTTCTTCGTTTTGAGCAGTTCGGTTGAGTTTGACCCGAACAATGGCGCAGAGTAGTTGGGAAGCAGATAAGATGTACATACTGTAATTGTTTATGCTTTAATTGTGCTTTTGTTTATGGGGTTTTGCTGAATTTGGCTAATTTGCTATATATATGTGCTGTATAGGCTTGATGTATACATATATGATTATTTAGTGAAGAAAGAATTACATGTCACTGCTAAGTCTTTCATGACCGAAGGGAAGGTTGCACCCGATCCAGTAGGTAATGGATACTAAACAATAGCAGAGAATAGCTGTTAAGTACTTTGATAGCAAGTTTTCGTGCTTATTGAGTTGGAAATGCTCGGAGTAGATTGCTCGGTCCTTGTTCAGTGTGTAATGTGTTATTACATATAATGCGCAGCCATTGATGCTCCCGGGGGCTTTCTTTTTGAATGGTGGTCTGTCTTTTGGGATATTTTTATTGCAAGGACAAACGATAAACATTCTGAGGCTGCTGCAGCATATATAGAGGTGACTGTTTAAAATTTGATGTTGTAGGTGTGGCTGCTACATTAATGTTGCCCTACTTATGAATCGGCTGACCTCTTTATGCCCTCCTATGTTGTCGATGTTCAGGCACAACAAAGTAAAGCAAAAGAGCAGCAACAGCTGCAAATGCAGCAGTTGCACCTAATGCGCCAAGCTCAGATGCAACGGAGAGATCCTAATCATCCTCCCCTTGGTGGTCCACTAAATTCAATTAGTTCTGAAGGGATGCTCGGGCAATCTACTGCTAGTGCACTGGCAGCAAAAATGTACGAGGACCGCTTGAAACACCCCAATCCAATTGAGTCAGAGACATCCCAACCACTCCTTGATGCCAGAGTTGCCCTTCTAAAATCAACGAACCATCCTGGGTGAGCAACTGGAAGATCATATTTTAACAGTTTTCTGATATCTGGTTGTTTTGGTGATTTACTTTTCTTGCTAACGTGCTGAAACAGTCAGATGGTTCAAGGAAACCCTGGAAGTGTTAATGCAGCATTACAACAAATCCAGGCTCGAAGTCAACAGGCCACAGTAACTACATATACGACCCAGTTGCACTGTTCTTCTCATTCTCTCTCTTTCTAATTTTAGTAAAGTTGTGGTTCTTCTTTGTTTGTAGGACATAAAGAGGGAAGTTAATATGGGCACTGCTCAGAGATCTATGCCTATGGATTCTTCAATTTATGGGCAGGGAATGGTTCAGTCAAAACCTGGATTAGGAAATGCAGGTATGATTGCCTGATCCTTAAAAGGATGTAAGAACTTGAAGAAGAAATATAGAACTTCAAAATGTCTTCCAGACATGAAAGAGGATTACAGGCATCTTAACTGTTTTTTTTTTACGTTTGAAGTATAATTTCAGATTTTTTTAATATTTGGACCTTTCTATTTTAGATGTCTCTCCTATACCTGAAAATGCAATTATTTTTTATTTATTTCATATATTGTTATGTCAAAGCTAAATGTAGTGATGATAAACATCAAGTTATGCTCACTGTGTTTACAGTTGTTGACCATGCCTACTGCACCAATGTAAAAAATAAAAAGTTTGAATTGCTTGTTGTGTAAAATTTTAAGTGAATGCACCTAGAGTGCCAGATGTTTGGTGCCATGTACTCGCAGTGAATATTGGGCTTAGCAACTTATTTTGGCATGCCTTGTTGCTCAAATAATTACCTAAAAAACAGTGGGATTTCAATGAGTTCAACTATTCCATGAGAGTGGGCGTCGTGATTTTATTCATGTCAAATTAGGTTACTAAGCAACATGCTTGCAAAATGTTTAAGAAGTCATAGGTTTTGAGTTTTCTTATGCCATGTTTAATTATTTTTATGGAATTTTCCAATCAGTCACAAAAAAAATATTTTATTCTTTGCTTTCTGTGGAATGAAGGATTGAACCCAGGAGTTGGTGGTCTTCCATTGAAGGGGTGGCCCTTAACTGTGAGTTGTATTCTTGCATTTCATGTGTCCCAGTGATGCACGTTTTAAATATGACTGGTCCAACATTTTTAACTGAGGCATGTGCCAATTTGTACAGGGAATTGACCAAATGAGGCCCGGTTTAGGTGGACAAGTTCAAAAGCCTTTCCTGCAAGGTGCAACTCAGTTTCAGGTTCTCTCACCGCAACAACAACAGCTTTTGGCACAGGCTCAGGGACAAGGAAATGGTGCTAGCTCATCAATTTATGGAGATATGAGGGGATTTTCTAGGGGAAATTTAAATACAAAAGATACCCAACAAATGACAAATAATGGCTCCATGAGTTCTCCTATGCAGTCAAATTCATCAAAGGTAAGAGGTCTTTCACAAACATACCAAGATTAGTTCTCCTTGATTATAAATGCCATATCTGCAATCAATATTGAAAAGAAAACAGTCCACAAAACATTTGGTTCCACAATAAATACTGCATGCAAGAGAGAGATGTATGTGAAATTTCTTTCACTAATATTTGAAACAGGGTGAAGAGGATACAATGAATATTTGGGTGAAATGCGCACGTTGCCTATGGGCTTTAAAGACTTGACGCCATTAGTCTTCTCATGTTAGCATTTTCTTGACCATAAATGCCAATCCTTAGCAGTAACAAATAGAAAGTTTAGGTGAAATCTTTCTAATTACATGGCTCGTGACCACATTTTTTGACTCAAAATGACAGTTCCCCAATGTGAACTGGCAGCACTGTACCTGAATGATAATTGGTCCCTAGGACTCATATACATGTCCTAGGTTTGATTTCTAGAGGTAGCAAAATGTGTTTTTTCCCCTCGTACTGTTAAGGTTTCCTTTTAAAAAAAAGGTAGAATTAACGAGGGTAGAGAGTTCCTCTTCTTCTTTTGATTATGTTTCCACTTAAAAAGAAAGTTGATATGAAAATTCTATTAGCCTTAGAGGAGCAAGGAGATTGTGTTTTAAGAGCGTTTTCATCTTTGTAATATAACTACAGTTGATTTTTCTTCTTGTCCCACTGTTAGATTGACTGTTTCTATATGGTTAGTACTATCAGTCAAATACGTGGGGATTTTAAGATCCTAACTATTATATAAAGGAAGTAGTGGGTTTTGACTCGCACTCGCCATCTTGGGTCAGTTTTATACTTTTTTTTTTTAACACAAGTTATAGTTTGATAACTACCTGTGTTTTTTCATACTTTTTAAGTAGACACAGTGGTGACATTTCCCTTAACTTGTGTTTCAATCAGATGAACATGTCACAGATGCAACACTCTTCATCTCAACAACAGGATCCTTTGCAGTCTCAGCAAGTACAGCAGGTTGTGCTTCCTTTTGTTGATATGATGATATCAAGTCCTTTTTTTAACCATTCACTGCAATACCTAAATATTTTATAGCGTTACGTGTTTGATTATTAATTCCATCTGAGCTTTTCTATTGAACTCCTTGGGAACTAGTAGCGTGGTTGATAATATACACGCACTGTGCTGTACTCATATATGTGTTTAAGCAATGACTAATGGCTGTTTATCATGCAATAGAATAACCGCAAAAGGAAAGGACCTTCATCCTCAGGACAGCCTGCTAACAGTACCGGTACAGGAAATACAATTGGTCCTTCGCCCAATTCTCAACCATCAACTCCATCCACCCATACCCCTGGAGACGGAGTTGCTATGACTGCTAATTTGCCAAATTCGAGCAGTGTTCCAAAAAGTATGATGATGTACGGTGCAGCTGGAACAGGTGGCCTTGCATCATCCACAAACCAGTTGGTATGTAATGTTTACATAATTAACCTTTGTCATCTACAAATAGGATAGGTAATCTGGATGCACAAGTCTCCATAACCCATGATGTTAGTCACAAGTAAAATTTTTAGAATCCAAAAAGCAATAGTCTTTACCGTTAATATTTAATAGGAACAATCAATTACCCTGTAATTTCATACCTTTTCAATAGTATCTTGTTTGAAAATCATGTGTACAGGATCGAACATGGATTCTTCAAATTTGATGTTCCTATTATAGGATTGTGTGTATGACTGCGCCATGTTCCAGTGGGTGTTGAAGGTGTTGCGTGGATTAGTGCCCTTAAAGACACATTTTTTGTAATAAGCTGAGGTCTTGAATTGTATATCCAAAAGTGTGCTGTACCTTGTGTTTCACTACAAACTTTGTTGTCCAGACTCTAGAATCCCGCATATCCATTTTGTTCTCCATGTATAACTATCTATACCCATAATGCACTTATGTCCATTCTAGCATATCTGCTGACTTATGCTGAATTACCACTGTGAATCAGATTTTCCCAAGTAACTCTAAAAGGCCTGCTAATGTTTGAATTGCAGGAAGACATTGAACAATTTGGGGATGTTGGCTCTTTAGAAGATAATGTGGAATCATTCTTGTCACATGATGATGGAGATGGAAGGGATTTATTTGGCACATTGAAACGGAACCCTGCACATTCTGCAGAAGCTTCAAAGGGTAAAAGATGATTCGCACTTTGAACAGTGTCCTTTTTTAATTTTTAATTTGGAAAAGTCTACATTGATATCATAGTCAAAGATACATGAGTAGTCTGATGCAGTATCCAAACAAGTAATGGTATTAGCTTAAAAACCAAGCCATCATCACTGCTTTTCCAGTATCATACCCTTCTGTCTCCGCAGATTCTCCTTGTCCCCTTGCTGCCAAGACCCAAGACTTTTTTATATCATACTTGATATCATAGTCAAAAATACATGTAATATCATGCCCTTACATGGACAATCTTGCTAATCTAAATTCATTGCAAACAAGATTTACTCTATTCAGGCCAGTGTTAAACAGTTGATCGATCTAAATGACTGCAGAAGTGACCCTTTGCTCTTATATTCAGGTTTTTCCTTCAGTGAAGTTGGTTCAATACGTAAAAGTAAAACCAAAGTTGTCTGTTGCCACTTCTCTTCAGATGGAAAATTGCTGGCCAGTGCTGGCCATGACAAGAAGGTATAAATCTCTGGTAAATGAATTACATGCTTTAATAGAATTGCTTTACATGCTCTAAACATACTGCTTTAAAAATGAGTCTTTTTTTTTTTTGTCTTTTTTGTATTCTTGCTGGTTATGCTTCCATTTATATAGTTATCAAATAGGATATGATCTGAGGCACTTATAATTGCAAAGAGCTTTTATATATGTGAATTAGTTAGTTTTGATGCCACCCTTATATATTATAATGTTTTAAAAAGTGTTTATTCACTAATGCATCCCACAAATGATACAGTTACTAGTTTCTACTGGCCTGTATTATTTATCAAAAACAAAGCATATTTACTGATTGTTACACTCCATATTTGGGATAACAATTGAGGTTAACCCTAATTTTATCCATGCCTGCAGTGCCCTTTTTTTATTTTATTTATTTATGGCAAGAGACCGTTTTATGTGGAAGTACTGATACTAGAATCGCCTGAACCCTGAAGATGTCTTAACCATAATGTTTGATTGGCGTTGGTATATGTGCACTGCCACTGGCTCTGAATGATTAAGGGATTTTATAATGTTCTCCAAAATGACCTTTTTCCACTTCCACACAGTATTTCCGAATGGAGACAAGGCATTTTCTTTTGTTTACTTGTAAGATTTTTGTGATAGTGGCTTATGGGGAAAATTCTGATAAATGGTAACACAAAATCCTTCCAAATCTTACCAAAATAGTCAGTGATCGGTTTAAAAAATGGTGTAATACAATTGACTTTTCAAGTTCCCATGAGGTCCTGCTCAGGTGGTGTTGGGGTGGTATGGTAGAACCTACCTACAGGTCCTGCTGTTAGCAATGTCAAAATTGTTTTAGGAACTTCTTTATCTGATAATTGTCACAGAATTGGTTTTAGATTGATGTAATTTTGAAGATGAGGTCTTAAACTGTTATATTGGAATTCAATATATTAGTAGCGACTTCAATTGATTGAAACAACTAAATGAGTCCCGTAATCCAAATTTCATATTATTAAGTAAATAATGCTGTGAATGCTTATCTTCTTTTTCCATGTCATTAGGTTGTTGTTTGGAATATGGAAACTCTGCAAACTGAAATCACACCGGAGGAGCATGGCCTGATAATTACAGATGTTCGATTTAGACCAAATTCATCTCAGTTGGCAACTTCTTCATTTGACACAACTGTGCGACTTTGGGATGCTGCTGAAGTAAATTCTTTGCTCTTGCATTGCCTTTTTCTTTCCACTGTTGTCAAATGCATTTTCCAAAATAATTTTTTGGCTCCCTTTCCTGGTTTTATTTGTTTTTCTTCGGTTTCTGAATATTGGGTTCACTGTTGCAGCCAAACTATTGTTTACAGACATATGCTGGGCATACCTCACATGTATTGTCACTTGATTTCCACCCTAAGAAGAATGACCTTTTCTGCTCTTGTGATGCCAACAATGAGATTCGCTTTTGGAATATTAATGAGTATTCTTGCACTCGCGTTTCTAAGGCTAGTATTGTGGGGCTCTCTTTAATTTTGTGAAGCTCATGATTAACATTTGTTTATTTTCTACTCAATAGCAATCATTCAATTATGCAGGGAGGTTCAGCACAGGTGAGATTCCAACCGAGAATTGGACAGTTGCTGGCTGCAGCATCCGGGAATGTTGTATCTATATTTGATGCTGAGACCGACAGGCAGACACATTCATTGCAGGTATCATTGGCTGTTTTTAATTCACCAAAGCTTGAAAGCATCATTTCGTCAGCTTTGTAAAACCAATCACCTCAAAAGTACGGTATTTTGATATGTTACTCATCGGAGAAAAAAATATTTGAATCGCAGGGCCACTCCTCGGAGGTACACTCTCTTTGCTGGGATACAAATGGAGAGATTTTAGCATCTGCCAGTCAAGAGTCTGTCAGAGTGTGGTCATTATCCTCTGGAGAGTGCATTCATGAACTCAGTTATAGTGGAAACATGTTCCATTCTATTGTATTCCATCCAAGCTACTCGACTCTCTTGGTTATTGGAGGATACCAGGTGAACTTTGCTTTGTTTTGATGATGTGAAATGAAATTTGGATTGCGCGTTAGTTTGGTAAGTTTAAATATTTTGGAAGATAGATCTTCTCAGAACTGGCTGTCAAAACAAACTAAAATGACCAGTTAGCTTGGGTAGGTTTGGCCAGAGTTATATTGCATCAAACCATCGCATAATTAATACAATTTCGTTGTGATTTATCGCCTGAATTCTATTTAAAAGACTCTGGAACTCTCGTATCCTCTTTCAAAACGTAAATTTTGTGGGAACATCCATCTGTTCCTGTAAATTAATTATTTTTCTTTAATGTTGTAGAATGCTAATGCTGTTTTATTTTTGAAACTTAAATGCTTGCAGTCATTGGAGCTCTGGAACATGTCTGAGAACAAGTGTATGACAATTCAGGCACATGAGTGTGTAATATCAGCTTTGGCACAGTCACCGGTTACAGGAATGGTCGCCTCTGCCAGTCACGACAAGGCCGTTAAAATCTGGAAGTAACATTGGCCATTTTTTGCTGCAAATCCCTAGTTTCAGGTCTGCTGCCCCTTCATATCAACTTAAGAAGAAGTTGGAATCAAACTTAAGTCACAGGATCCATCATGTGTTTAATTACATTTAACATTTTTTAAAATTATTTCTCTCCATTTTAAAACCTATTTTTATACATGTACTATTACTAAGGTGCTTGTTAAAGTTTTAACTTTGTCAAAAGAGACAAAGTTATAAATATTACCTCAAATTCAACTTCGAAAGCTTTGCTTTGATTGGTTTAGTTGGTGATGCTGTGAGTCATGATGCTATTTTAGTTGGAATTATTGGCACAAGTTAGTAATTGAAAAACTCATGTATTGTTACCCAAGTTCGAACCCCGTCCCGCAGTTCAGATTAGCTTAAAGTAAGATTATCGCTCAGATTAGCTTAAAATAGATTATCGCTCGCATGTAAAATGTAGAATCAATGACATAGTCTTACATCCTTGATATCCAGTTTCCCATCATACACACTTGACAATTGAGGTACTTGGTCGATATATCTGGTCACAAACCTCTCCAAGAACTTATTTTCTGCAGGCAACAACACATAAGCCAAACTCAAATCTTCATCTACCAACCCTTTCATCAACAAAACTTTCACAACCGAACACCTAGGAATAATTCTCTTCTCCAAACTGAAACACAACGCCACAGGGCATGTCGCGATCAATCTCGAAGACCATCCCATCTTGTTCACCAAGAAATCCATAACCTGCATTATCTTCTTCTCCGACAAAATCAGACACTGCGGGTTCTTCCTGAAGGCAGAGACCACATCGTCCTCGGACCAACCCCAACTCCGCTTGTAAATTTCGCGATTTCGATTCCATATGGACCTGCTACTCTTCCCGCACAATGCTCTCATTGCCGTGACAAAAGTCGATTTCTTTGGATCAAATCCCATTTCCTTGACCTCACCCACAAGTGCACCAAACTGTTCATGCTTGTACATCAAGACTTGAGTGTTGTGAGCCAGCAGCAGAGCAATGCAGGACTGCGGCATCCCCAATTCCGCAAAAGCCCGATATTCGGCACCACTTTCTTGGAGTGGTTTTCCAGGAAAATCCACGACTGGCGCTTCAAAACCGCGATCACATTTTCCCGGGAAATCAAACTCCTGAGAAAAGTATACGATGGTATGATCTGATTCTCCAAGCTTCTCGACAGAAGGTGAGGATTAAAAGACAGAATTCTCCCAAGATCTTCCCTCGAAACTCCGAGAGAGCTGAAGAACTCGAGCTTGGGCAAAAGGGTATTCTCGGGATCGGCCAAAAGAAGAGCAGGGCGTGACCTGACGAGCTTCGAAATCTGGGTTGCAGAGAGGCCATGGCTGCTAAGAAGGGCCAGGACAGAGTCTGCTCCATGCGGGGATTGCAATTCCACCTTGCTGGACAATGAAATTGCATCTTCTGGGGACAATCCACATGAATTTATGAGGTAGGTGGCTGTGAAATCGTGTTTGTTTGCTGCTGAAATTTCTGAGGTGATGGATCTGCGGATTACCAGATTTTGAAGAGAAGTGCAGGAGGGTTTTCGATCTCCGAAGACAAATCTTTGGGCTGTGGAAGCAAATGTACAAGAAAATATTGAGCCGCCCAATCTGAGGCGGGTGTTGAAGCTGTAGAGAGATAGCATCGTCACCATGTTAGCTACTGGCGTGGTGCAAATGCCATCGCACAATTATATTAACTATTACAAAATAATTATAATTGATTTTAATTTTCATCCTATTAGCCGTTAATGAGACACATGCATTAAAAAATTAAATTAAAGGCATTCGACTCTATTTTTGTTAAGTAAAAATAGAAAGTTAGAAAGCAAGAAGTAAAATGATTCAGCTGTCACGTCATATGTAAAATCTTCCTTGGAGAACAATTTGATGTCTTTTAATCCTAGCTGGCTCATCTCCCTTAGAGTACAATTGATATCTTTTAATCTTAGTTCACGTATTTGATATGTCCTTTGAAGATAGTCTTACGAATGAAATTATACTTCAAATGGTTAAGAACGTTTATTCTTGCACTGAACCATATAACCACATCTCATCTGAATTCACCCAGAGTTCAAACGAAATGTGAAAAACCGTAAATCCCTAATTTTTATCGTAACCAACAAAAAAACCTAGAATATATCATTCGTCTACTTTATCGTTCACCTTCCTCACCAATCAATCTCAACGTCGAAGGAAAAAAGTGAAAAAAAAAGGAAAAAAAAACAAAACAAAACGCAGAAGCGCTTGATCAAATGTCGTCGAAGGCATTACTCTGCGGATCGAGCTTACCGATACATAAGCACATCGGATGCTTGAGTGCATGATTACTTCATTCCAAAAGCAGAAGTGCTTGATCAAATGTCACAAAACGCAGCTTGCGATGTTGCCGATTCCCAGCGCCTAGTTTGTAGAGATTATTCAATGTGCCTCGAACACGATGTACACCATATGGTCTTATATAAGTGGAGGGAATTTTTTTTTTTTTTCGAGTAGTTCTCTACTTGTATAATGGCATATAACGTATATGTTTGTGTTTCGGTCATACTGAAAAATCTCTCTTACGATGCAATATAAGGTCATTAATGACATGACATGGGGTGTCTTCAACTTGAAAGCAATAAAATGCCTTGGATGTCGCCTAGCTACTAAGGTTTGAAAAGTGATCCTACAACTTTACTCCACACACAACTTAAATTTTAATTGTGAATTATCTTTTTTATTTTTATTTTTATTCTGTTAAATAATTACATAAAGTACAAGATAAAATTAATAATAAAACTAACTAAAATTTATCGGTAAACCCACACTCAATAATAAATTCTAAAACCTTTGATTGTAATGTGAACCGATAAATTTTGGGTTTTTAAGTAATTGGATAGTGTTATCCACACACCTATTTTTACTTCTCTCACACTCCTCTCAATTTTTTACTGAGATCGAATGAATTAAAGAAAACTAATGGTAAAAAATTAACAAAAATGTGCGGGAGGTAAAAATAAGTGTATCAGTAGCATTTTTCTTCTAATTAATTGAGTAGTGTCAACTTTTTTGATGCAAGTATAAGCTTGTCGAAGTTAGAAGTTTGGTATTGTCGAAGTTAGAAGTTTGATAGTATGGTGGCAAAGAGAAAGGGATTGATCAAGACGAGAACTTCTATGGATTCGATTTAGTTTTGCCTTTCCTTTGCTAATTTGCATATAGGGTTTCTGATATTCTAAAATACTTTGGCTCAAATGTTTATTATTTTTCGTCCCTTGAATGAAACGGTCTTTTTAAACTACCTTATTATTTTAAATGCGATTTCGATTTCAATTTCTATTTCTATTTTTATTTTTTGAACAACAATATTATTTAGACTAAAGAAGAGGGGTAGGATGTGGTTCAAATTCACATTTGACAAGAATCGAACCTAATACTTTTCACTTACAAGTGAAGAGGAATACCACTAGACCGTAGTACTAAATGACTATTTATATTTCTATTAAAGATGAAGAATTGATGTCACATCCCGGCCCGGGCCCCCACCACAACCCGGGCCCGATCCACCACCGTAGCACGATATTGTCCGCTTTGGGCCCCGACCACGCCCTCACGGTTTTGTTTCTGGGAACTCACACGAGAACTTCCTGATGGGTCACCCATCCTGGGAGTGCTCTCGCGCGCTACTCGCTTAACTTCGGAGTTCCTATGGAACCTGAAGCCAGTGAGCTCCCAAAAGGCCTTGTGCTAGGTAGAGATGGGAATATACATTTAAGGATCACTCCCCTAGGCGATATGGGATGTCACAATTGAAGGGAATGACATCAGACCTGTCGGAAGGAAAGAATGGATACTCTGATTTTTGGATTTTTATTTTTTTTAAATGGGTGTAAAGATAAATTTTAATATTGAATTAGGTTCTAAGTGTAGTTTAGGTAATAATTTTGAGCATGTCAATCAATATCTTAGTGAATAAAGTGTTGGGTTTCCACCTATGTGTCCCGGGTTCGAAACTCCCCCTCTCTTAAATTATTGTAATAGTTTTGAATCATTCCCCCTCCCCTTAATAATAATAAAATTTTAAAAAAAGTTAATAAATTTGAGTTTAGAGATATATTGATAGTTTATAAAAATAATATGCGTGTATAAAGTAATTTTTTTTTTTTAACAAATGATAGAATGAAATTATATGAGTTCAAATAAAATTCATCTTTGTTAAGATTATAGCCCTGCACTATTTCTTTAAAATTATATTTTTAGTGTGCTATATTTACAAAAAAAAAAAAAAAAAAAAAAAAGAAAAAAGAGCCAAATTGAGGACGGCTATTTGAGATGGCCTCAGACGGAATGTATAAATTTTAAAACCTCAGTGCAACATAAGATAGAAAATCAAAACTTTATGACCCAATCTTGTAAATCACAAGAACTTGAAGGTCTTAAATGCAATATGATGTGACGAGGCACCCCGCTTAACCGCCATTGACATTTCTGTCAATACATTGTTCGGCTCTCTCTTGCTCTCTCTCTGTTTCTCTCTCTCTCTCTCTCTCTCTGTGACTCTGAGATTTTATTCGAAATGGAAGACGATAAAACCCTAATCAAACAACAGCAACAAGAACCACGGGGGGAGCTCCAAGACGAGGAATTTCGAAAGGAGTTTGAATGCTGCATTTGCCTGTCAGTGCCTTTTTCTTTTTTTTAATCTATTTTTCTTGAATTACTGCAATTTCATAATTTATTTGTTTATTTCACTGAAATAGGTGTTTAATTTACATTTAGATCGCTTGAAATTTCATTTATTTATTTTCTTTAAATTTTATAATTAGTTGCTGGTAATTTTTGTTTGATGATTTAGCACTTTATGAATATTCCGTGTATGAAGAATTATGGCCAGCTTCAAGCATGTATTTTGGTGTTTTTCGTACGGAAAAGGTCCTTTTCCTGAGGATCCTGTAATTGTAAACGTTCAGGTCAGAAATCATTTAAAATTTAAAATTAAATATAAATAGTACTTAACGAAAACGATACACTTCACGATCATGGGAGTTTCGGGATCCCCAGAAAAAGGATCCGGCGGGGATCCTTTTCGATTTCGTACAACTCTTCAAAAAGAGTTGAAAAACTTGCTGAACAATGAGAAGAAACTAATAATTTTATCTCGAAAGGGCCCTTCAAAATTGAAAGAGTAATAGCTATGGCTCAATATGATTGTGCTGCTGTTGTTTTGCATGATCCTGTTTACAGTTGAATTTAACTTTTTATTCTTCG